TCTTGTAGAGGCACCGGTCTTGGCATTGCCAGACGCGGATAAGCCCTTAAGCGTCGTCTGTGATGCAAGCAATGTTGCAATCGGCAGCGCGCTCATGCAGAAGGATGACAACGGCGTTGACCGTGTCATTTCTTATCAGTCTCGGCTTTTAAAAGCTGCAGAGCTGAATTACCCTGTGCATGACAAGGAGCTACTTTCAATTAAGTATGCCCTTGTAAAGTTTTGGGTGCACCTCTTGGGCACCGAACCTTTTGTGGTTTATACGGATCACGCATCACTGCGGGCCGCTATAAATTTACCGCACCTTTCGCCGAGAATGGCGAGATGGCTAACATTCTTCTCTGAATTTAATTTCAAAGTTGGATATAAGCCGGGTAAGTCATATGTCTTGGCTGACGCGTTATCGCGCAGACCAGACTTCGAGGCAAGACACCAAGATAGTGTGTCTCGTGCGAAAGAACAAGTTGAGTCGTCAACATTGGCAGCCATGAAGGCCTACCATGTGAAGAGCTCAATGGCCTCCGATATAAAGGGTTGTTACAGTCAGGACGAACATTGTCGCCTGCTGTTGGATCATTTTTGTGGACGAAAGGTTACCCTTCCGTCGCACCTCAAAGCGAAACTAAATCGCTTTAGTTACAGTGATGGCATGTTATGGCATCAACTGTCACCCTGTGATCCCTTGAGAATCTATGTCCCTCATGACACAGATCTCAAGCTGATGATACTTCACGAGTGCCATGATGCGCCATCTAGTGGGCATCTGGGCCGTGAAAAGACATTCTTACGAGTGTCAGAGGAATTTTGGTGGCCCCACCTATATCGGTGGGTGGCCAACTATATTCGCTCTTGTGAAGAGTGTCAGCGCATAAAGCCTGCACCTTCAAACAGTGCGCCACTGAAGCCACTGCCGATTCCAACTGAATGTTGGAAGTCGGTCAGTTTGGACTTCATGTTTGGCTTACCGCCTGATCATAAAGGCAGGACGGGGCTCGTCGTCTTTGTAGACAGACCGAGCAAGATGGTGCATTTGGCACCATGTAGCACCAAGATCTCAGGAAAAGAGGCTGCCCTCTTGTTCCTGGATCACGTGTATCGACTACGCGGGATGCCCGAGTCCATAGTATCGGACCGGGATCCGCGTTTTACGTCGGGTTTTTGGCGACATGTATTCGAGCTGCTGGGTAGCAAGCTCCACATGTCAACCGCTGATCATCCCCAGACCGATGGCCAAACAGAACGGGCCAATCGAGTCGTGGCGGATGTGTTGCGTACAATAGCGACTCCCAAAGAATGGAGCAAGCAATTGCCATTCGTGGAGTTCGCTATTAATAACAGTGTTCACGCCAGTACGGGTGAAACACCGTTTTACATTAACGGACTGCGTCATCCTCGAACGCCAGTCTCGTTTGTACGCAGCCCGAGTCTTAGTGGGGGAGGGCCCCTCACTTCGCTCGGTGCGAATGCCAAAGAGGGCCAAGGTTTCCCTAAAGACACTGCTAATTTAGCAGTGGTCACGACACCTATAGGTGTCACAAAGGAGGCACGGCAAGAAATGCCCGTGCTCCTTGATGATGACACTATAGTGTTGTCAACAACGTCGACCCATGAACGACCTCTTGGAGGCGTCATAGGCGAGCTGGATTCTAAAAGCGTGAGCGAAGCTCAGCGCTTTGTGGATGAGCGATTAGCCATCACACTTAAAGTCCGTGACGCGATGGCAAGCGCACAGGACAAGCAAAAACAATATGCAGACCAGCATGGTCGCAAAAACAATGAACACTTTAGTGTGGGAGACAAAGTGCTATTAAGTACTGCTACCCTACCTAAACATGCAATTTCTGTACTACCTGGTGGTACTTCTAAGCTATTGCCCTGATTCATTGGGCCATTTACGGTGGTCGAGGAGGTTGAAGACCTAAACTATAGGCTCACTCTCCCACCGTATATGAAGACGCACCCCGTATTTTACGTGGGTCGTCTGAAACGGAATGTTGATCCAGAAGAGATCACATATCCGCATCGGTCTAACGAGACCGATGGTGACGTCGACTGTGAGTCGAGCGTCGCGACCGATCAGGCGACGAGGAAGCCGAGAGGCTCCCCGTATATGAACGAGGCGATAGAGGACTCGGTGATCGAGGAGGACTCCGCGCTTGACGCGGTTCTCTCATCACCAGTCGCTATAAGATGTCCAACCGGGTCTTCAGGCGGTCATACCCCTGACGGTCCCTCGTCCTCACATCGCGCAGATCCAAAGTCAGTCGCGAGACTTGACTCTCGAGATCTGTCACCTGTCTCTTCAGCGCAGCAGACTCAGCCTGCGACTGAACAGCAGCAGGGTAGGCAGCCGCGATTAGGTGGGCGTAATCGCCGTTCCTATCGGGCGCCACCTGTGTTGGTGGACACGGAAGGGAATACGCGCTTCCTTGTTGGAAGGCTGTTGGCCCACCGGTTTGTGAAGCGAAAGCTTCAAATCCTTGTCCAGTGGAAGGGTTACCCAACGAGCTTTGACTCGTGGGAGCCTGTGGACGCTTTGCGCGTTGACGTGCCTGGGCTGGTGACTGCTTATGTGAAGCAGCACCAGCTGTCTTCTTTCTGCTAGGTCCGGAAGGACTAGCAGAAGAAGCGTGGCGAGAATTAATTGGGGGTCGCTTACCGCCCATAATTTCATGCGCACGCTTCATGGCGAAGCTAATTCGCTGCGACCGCTGTTTCGTTGCATCTTCATGCAAGGTAACACGGCGCCGAAGTTCAGCTTCATAGTCGTCGGCTGTTTCGTTAGAACGCAGCACGACTGGAATTGGGAAAGCACGACCAAGTGCTTTGCCCTGCTTTTTCCACAAGGGAAAGACGCTATAAAATCTATGAGCGTCTATAGTTGCACGCTGCAAAAGCGCTGCGCTAGACCCATCCAAGTTCATCCACTCAGATGGAGGTGGCATTGGTGGCAAGCCACCACTCACGTAGCCGCCCTCACGACGGCGGGCTAGTGAGGCCGAAGGTGTACTTGGTGGAGCTTTAAGCTCACACTCACCTGAGTCTGACTCTCCATTATGGCTTGTCAAGACATCAGCCTGAGAAGTAACATCTGACTGAGTCGCGACTACTCCTTTCGAAGTAGCGTGCTCAGTCATAGTCGCTGCGCTCGTAGGCGCAGACGACGAGGCTTTACCTTCGTTTGTAGGAAGCATAGATGCTTCCTCAAGGACGGGTGCCTCAAATGATGGGGACATATGTCCCATCAATGCACTATGCTCATCGCCACTTTGGGGTGATGGCAGTGGTGTAGTCTGATTGTAGTCTACAATGAGAGATGGATCTTCATCCACATTATCGTGTGATGGAAGATCCACCCCAGTGACTGACGCACTTTGCGACGGCTGCGATAAATCGCGGCGCGTGCGCTTAGTGCTGGACTGCATGGGTGCCTTTGCAGGCGACCCATCAGCCTTACCACGTTTCGGTGGCATGAGAATTGAGTAGACAAAGCGGCGCGTTATATTACGGCTCGCAAGTCACTCTGTCTCCTAGGCGATGTTTTACAAGATGTAAAAATCGTTTTAAAAGGGGGGATGGTGTAACGGGCTCAACGTTACACGTACCCGTTAAGTATGCGATACTTAACGGGCAGGTCTTAAAAGGTACGTAAGTACTTAAGACCTGTCGCTCGGGTGAGACACACCATGTGTCACACCCTTGCGTATGTGATATACACTAGGTGTATTCACATTGATGGGGATGACGCCCAGCTGGGACTAGGCGTCATCAAATGACGTCAGTCAGTTACGTCATTGAGCGAGCTTAAATATATTTAAGCTCGCACGTTGGGATGCGCATTTATAGAGATGGCACCCATCATTACATATTAACCAATCAGTAGTTAAACATATATTTAGTTATAATTAATTAAATATATCTCAGTCTTGAATTTCCTTAAACAGAAACACCACGCACGAGAAGTTGAAAGACTTCTGCGTTGACGTCGGTGTTCTAAGTGTTAAGAAGTTCGTTGCACTCTCGCTTAAGCGAGAGGCAACTGGTGGTACGACTGCTTAAGCAGTCGACCAACCTCCCAACCACCCTCGCACGCGAAGGTAGACGGTATAACCGCTTCCTCGCTTGTGCATAAGGTGTGTGCTCGTAGTACGAGGCAACTTCATAGAAGTGCCCGTCTACACTTAGTGCATGGAGGAGGAAGCGATGTTTTCAGAGGCTTTCCTTGCTTTCTGTAGCTGCTGCTTTAAAGCATGCCGACATATACTTGGAAGCAACACGTTGGTCAAGATTCGAACGCCCTATTCTTCGTCATCCTTCAAATAGACATAAATAATGGCCTTTACCTAATGGATGCGCTCATGCAGCTGTTCATCGCTGGCTGTCACGGACTACGGCCTTCACCGTATTTAGCACCTTGGCAATGGCTTGTCAGCTAAGGAGCTGCATATTAACCGAAATTCTTACTGGGGCGAGCGAGGTCATGAAGAAAAGTTCCAACGACATCCGAGTGAAGGCTGCGTGCATGGTCGTTCCCTGGGACGTAAACAATGGCCACGCAATGCTAACGCACGCTACGCCATTGCGCGTGAGATGAAGGTTGATATTCCGGTACGATATTGGCATTTATGATGTTCACATGTGCTTGTTTTAACAATGCGTACTCTATACCTAGAGCAAGTAAGGCTGACGCGGCTAATGTATACGATGTAGTCAGCAAGCTCTTCTACGATAAGCTCGATAAGGGTCCGATACTTTAATCAGTAGCTATTCATCATACATTCTCCTCGTGTCAATTGATACACGGAACGAAAGACTTTGCATTCAAATGCTATAGCCAACAGTATTTCCAAGCCAAAAATGGCGAAGAACGATTGAATGTCAACTTACTCAAGTACTTATCTGGTTAAAGTAAACTTATCCAAATAAAAATTAATGGAGCTCTTGGCAGACTCTTCCAGGAACATCATTATCGGACTATTGGACCAAGCACATTGTAAAAAATGACAACGTCCGATCGACATTATACTAAGCGTATCCTCGTAACTGGTGGTGCCGGTTTTATTGGTTCCCATGTGGTTATTCATTTGGTTAAGCGATATCCTGAGTACTATATCGTAAATCTAGATTCCTTGGACTATTGTTCCTGTGTACGTAATGTGCATTCAACCATTTCTCTGAGTAACAACGAGCAGAATCACAGCCGTAATGATGTCACAATCGACACTGACTTTGATCAAGAAAAGGGTATGGAGAATGAAAACGAAGATGACGTTGGTGAACGTCTCCGAGGAAGTTTCTGCGAACTTGGGGACGAGTGGCTAAGTGACGACTATCTTGCTATGTTACCTAAAAACTACAAGTTTATTCATGGATGCATCACAGGAGCAGATCTTGTGAATTACATTCTTAAGACAGAGTCCATTGACACTATTATGCACTTTGCAGCTCAGTCTCATGTGGACAATTCGTTTGGAAATTCCATCGACTTTAGTAAGACCAATATTCTTGGCACACACGTGCTGTTGGAGGCAGCAAGACTGCATGGTGTTGAAAGGTTCATTCATGTAAGCACGGATGAAGTTTATGGAGAAGGAACACCTGGGTCAGCTCCGATGACGGAGGACCATGTACTTGAACCTACCAATCCATACGCAGCTACAAAAGCTGGTGCTGAGTTTCTTGTAAAGAGTTTCTATCACTCGTTTGGACTCCCCTCCATCATCACGAGGAGTAACAACGTGTACGGGCCACATCAGTACCCAGAAAAACTCATCCCAAAGTTAGTAAACCAGATCTTGCGCAATCAACCAGTGACGATCCATGGCGACGGTATGCACACTCGCAACTACTTGTACATATCCGATGTTGTCGCAGCGTTTGACCTCATTTTGCACCAAGGCGAAGTGGGAGAAGTCTACAACATTGGCGGTGAGAATGAACTCTCCAACATGGAAGTCTCAATGGATCTGCTGGCTCTGATGAAGCCACAGCTTTTGGAAAGTGAGATGGCCAAGCTGATCACACACGTCCAGGATCGACCCTTCAATGACCACCGGTACATTATTGATGCTGCCAAAATTCGTCGTCTGGGCTGGAAAGAGACAATCTCTTGGCGCGAGGGTCTGCGCAAGACGGTCAAGTGGTTTTGTCGCTATGGACATCGTTTTAACAATATTGACCACGCGCTCGAGGCCCATCCGATCAATTTCAAGAAGACATACAAGCTCAGTCTATCTTAAATCAGCTGTAGTATCGTCGTCAGGTACATGTGCTCTCACAATATGAACGAGTAAAGTAATATCATCGTCTATCTTTAATCGATTGAGGTTCTACAAAGTTTTGCTTCTAGGCCAGGCCGTCCAACGACAAATATAAGTCGAGAAACGAATCCATTTTTTGACGTCTGATTATCAGGTTGTGATTTAAGTGTGATTGAAGCGGCATGTCGGTTGATCACGACATGATAAATAAAGAGACATTTCAGAACATCGGTGTTCGTTTGCCACTGTCTCATTGCAGTCCTTGACCTGTTGTTGGCGCGAGCGTCGATCTTTTGTTCCGGTTGACGGGACCTTTGTTCATAAAGAGCAAGATCCTTTGTGCTTTGGTTCACATCTGCACTATCTGGACATTGCTGTTAAGCTGAAAGATGATCAGAGCTGCTCAACTGTAACGTGCTCCAGGCCATCCTGGAATTTCCTTGGGTGGCTCATAGTCTCCATGCGTTTGAATCGGAAACTGTATGCGTTCACGTGCAGGGTGCATCTGCTGGTGAGATGAATAAGCCTGGTGAAGGCAGTGATGACTATCACGAGACAGATGGGAAGTATCTGGCAACGGCTCCGGTGTGCTTCCTGAGGACCACGATCCTTGCGAGAGGTTGGCGTGGGTGGATGAATGATAGCTTGAATCCACCGTCCGTGGAGAAAACGACGTCATGAGCGTCACATCCCACTTGTTCTGGGTCAAATGGTATTGCCGGTGATGCGCACACCATACGCAGTCCGGCGACGAGCATTCGACAAACTCCACTAGCGAGTGTGACGGTACCACTACCATTCGTGTGGGTTCGCGCTGTTTGACACGCCGCATAATGTACAAAAAGGCTATACTCAGAAACAGATCTGTGACAAGATACTTGATGACGCAAAAAGCCTCAAAGCTCAAAGAGGACCACGAGTCCTTCACACCCGAGAAAAAAGTGGGTACATCCATGATAATCTGTAGCGTTAATGACGTCGTCAATAGAGCCAACAACAATGACATTTGCATCACTGACTTTTTCTTCATATCTTCAGTCATTGCAGCTGATAGCAATCTTTCTCTCAATTGAATAGCGACGTAACATGCTACTACGGTATCAAATACCAGTGTAACAATGTTGATAACTCGATGGGTAAAAAAGAGAGAATTTGCATCTCTCGGATAAGTTTCAATACTCCTGGGAGTATTTAATCCATAACAGAGCACGCGTATTGCCATAGCTGATGTCCAAATGAAATGAATTGAGTGTAAAAACACCAGTGGATGTGATACAGTCATCCGTTTCGATCTCTGAAGTTCTTGAGCCGTTACTCGTCCTGCCGTTATTGCACTAGACCATTGAAAAATCACCGCCGCCGTACACAATAACACCATCGAATTGGACCACCATAAACACGCTACACCGATGGCCAGTACACTGGAATTGCACATTCCGAGCCAAAAGATTAACCGTAATACACAGGACACTAGAAGCACCTGTAATAATACATAATACTGTCAAATTTAATACCCTCCAAAACCAGATATTTCGTATAACGTACAATATGGAAAAGAATACGGCGTCGATGGGAGTTCCAATAGAGCTGGTGAAATGTACGCCATAGAATAAGTCCAAGTAGTACGGTTTCTACTAGCATAGGCAGTAGTAATACCCAGCTTCCACATTGCAACTCTGATGTTGGAGGTAACCACACCATAAAGAGACTTGATTGACTTGGTGCAGCTCAAAGTTTGGAATGAAAACTTTAAAATAAACGGAATACGGTACAGATTTCCAACCTGCTTTCGGTGCTGTCGACAGGCTCTTTGATTGGTTTTGATAGCGACAGGTCCCTTTGAAGACGGGCGCACGACTGTATTTAACTACAGTATGAAGATGAAATGGGTACACTATTGGGTTTCGACTATTGGGATTTTAGTGTGACTAACCGTATCCAAGGGCCGTTGGGGTCCTGTAACTGTATTTTGGGGTTTTTTAGAGCCCAAAAAAAGATGGGAATAGAGCGTTTCGATAAAAAAAAAACTACTGCGACCGACTGAAACGTGTAGAGAAAGAAGATGAATATTACTATGATGACGTATATGAAGTTGTTGCAGTAGCGCTATTAAACTGTAGTCTTGTCTTTTCTCTTTATCGCTTCTAACGACATATTGCGCCTCTTAGCTGGGCAGTACATTTAATTCATAGTAATTACTACCATAATTGAGCCATCAATTAAGATTTTGTTTAGGATAGTCTTGCACAAACAAATATATATCGTCGTAAGCCTGTATCCCATCATGTCCTTTAGAAACGCATATACTAACTACTAGTTGAAAACTGTAAAAAACTGTAAAACATGGTCAAAACGTATTATTATAACCTGTCATTCATCATTTCCTCCTATTATCGATCAATTTACATGCTTTGGCTTTATCTCTTACTTAAACGTAAATTAAGCGTCTCCAATACTTCACCTAAATTACGTACGGAACACCACATTCAACTTGAAGCCAGTCTCATCATGCGTCATAGTCGACGCCATCTCGCTCTCTTTCTCGCGCTGTTTCTCGTCCCCATCGACTCTTTTAGTCGCGTTTTTCTTGTGCATCTACACCCTATTCTTGACGCTCAAAGTCTCTCTCGATTGTCTCATCTCTCACGCTCTGAGCGTCGAAAGCAAGTGCATCAAACCTTGTCGAGCATTGTAAATGACGTCCAACGTAGTGTTTCGAGCTTTATTACGGCTCAAAATGACGAGAAAATCAACGTGATTCCTCTATGGCTACAGAACACACTGATAGTTTATTATACAGAGGAAAATGATTTGCTAAATCAGTTTTTCAATCGAGATCTTGAAAGGTTTCCAGGGGTCTTGGACATTGAAGAAGATACTCGAGTTTTAAGGTTAATTCAAGCACAAGAAGAAGAAGAGAAAGACGAAAAAGAAGAAGAAGTAGCTCAAAGTAATATTAAGCTACTTCATGCTCCACAATTGTGGGCAACAGGAGCAAAGGGAAAGGGGATTGTCGTGGCCAGTATTGACTCGGGTGTACGATACACTCACGAAGCTCTTAGAGATACTTTTAGAGGTAGGTTCTATTAATTTTATTTCTACTCTTGACAGCTGACATATAGTGGTTTGTTTCTCAGGAACAAAGGAAAATCACGTGGACTTTGATTACTCTTTCTGGTTTACGCCAGGTACAGACAAATCGAAGGAAACGCCGGATACAGCAGATGAAGTGGGTCATGGAACACATACGATGGGGACAGTAGTGGGAGGTAAAGGAATCGGTATTGCTCCGGAGGCGACGTGGATCACTGCACGAGCATTTGATATCTGGGGTGCGGCGAATAAGAGTGACTTTTTGCTGGCAGCACAGTGGGTTTTGTGCCCAACCAAAATAGACGGCACGGGAATAAACTGTTCACTCGGTGCAGACGTGGTGACCAATTCGTTTGGGGTCGACCGATCGACGCCTGTTTATCCGCAATGGACGTGGCTGAGCAAAGTGATTGATACATGGCGAGCAGCTGGCGTCTACCCAGTATTTGCCAGTGGGAATACCAACGGGTTTTTGTGTGGGAGTGTATATTATCCCGGTAGCCGTGAAGACACGATCGCGGTGGGAGCATTGATTGGAGGGAGTTCGCTTTGGGGCGCAAGTGGGAAGGGTCCAAGTTTGGATAGTGACTACGGTTTCCATAACATGCCGACGCATGTAAGCAGCAAGTATATTATCAAGCCTGATTTTGTTGCTCCTGGGGTGGGTATTCGATCGGCAATGAGCGTCAAGGACGGTGTCTACACCCGGCTTACTGGAACGTCAATGGCGACACCACACGTGACAGGTGCCATCGCACTGCTACTTAGTTTAGCTCACTCGAAAACGCCAGCTTATGAAACGATCTTGCGGAGTTTAACCGAGTCAACCACGCACAAGTTGCATAAACCTTTTCTCGTACCCAGCAAATGCGGCAACACCTCATACCAAGAGTATCCCAATAACATATACGGATGGGGCTTGGTGAATGTATGCTTAGCGGCAAAACACCTCGGTTTTCCGTGTGACGACTTAAGCATAGCCACTGTTGGAGAGGAAGAATTTGTTACACTCGCTGATGTCCAGGCGACGGAGTAAACGTGAGCTGCTTTCATTCGAGGCAATACAAAAGCTCAGGTGATTCAAGTCATCTCATGTCTTTTCGGACTGACCGTGTATCGTCGAGGTTTCATGATGTCCAGGATGCAATATCATGTATGGAAGATTGAGGACCTGTGTGTCTTAATTTTCGTATTGCTGTGCGCCTGGTAGGTGTAATCCTTGTTAGTGATGGATTGAAAGTCGAGACTAATTCCTATAATCTTTCTGGTGGTCAGATAAACCCATCAAGGTCGGAATCGATGTCCGTAAATTGATGCCTGGCTGCATTGCACTCGCCATAACAAGGCAGCAGCATGTTTTTCAGATCGATATTTTTGAAGAACGAAGACTTACGGACACTTCTTACAAGATCATGCTACAGTTCTTCATCGGCCACCGTCAAATTGATCTACTCAAGACAAGTGGCTTGATCTTTCGTACTCGATGCTACTTGAGCGGATCTATTGGAGATAGTCCAACTATAATGGCGCATTTTGCTTATCGTTTGCTTGAATGCTGCTACCACTAGTGGTACTTACAATGATATTTGACCGCTGTGATGTCGTCATAAGCGGCATTGGAGCATGCTCGAGCGTAAGCAAGTCGAAGAATGTGTCAGTGTAGTTTTCTCCGCCACGTATGGTCAAGATTTTCCATTTGCGTACCACCCGCAAGGGTCATAGATGAATACAATTCACCATTTGTACTTCCCATGGCCGCGTATTTGGCATTGAGCTGTTACCACAGTATCACTCTGACGGAATGATCAAGTGTACTTTCACCAAGTGATATACATACAGCTCAGTTAGCAGCTTTTCTAGCCAATGTATCTGTTCGCCAACATGTGGTTGACTGAATGCTATCGTGGATGCGCCAAGTACATTATGCTATCCGATTCACTAGATATGAATTCTTGCCCAAGAGAGCACCGAGAGTTGTCACTCGCTATCTTGAATCAACAAAAGCGTTAGGACGACAGGACAGGAGAGTACGACAATACAGTGCCCCAGGAATTGGACGAAACTTTCTCTAAAAGTTATGAGCTCATGGAATCGGATGATACTGGAACGTACAGTTTTGAACGTCATCATCATTCGACTGAAGTGGTTTCTGATGTTTTACTCATACTGTAGTTACCTTGTTTGTAGTCATATGCCTTGGTCGGACGCCTTTGTAGGACCCAGGCGTAAACTTATGGAATATTCCACTTACAACGTTCAACAATGACGAACGCTATACGTGGTGATCAAGTTAACGGAGCCCAACAATTAAGTGACCGACCATTCACGAGGAAGATAATGCAGTTTCGTCGAACAATATAGAGCAGTCAGTATATTGTCGTACTGTCCTGTCCTGTCCTATCGTTCTAACGCTTTGTCCACGAGTGAAAACGCAGTTTCTCGTGGACAAGAACTTCCAGAACAAGGCAGTCAGACATTACAGGGATACATCTAGAGTACAATTGTCAAGCAAAAGAACCTTCCAAAGGCTCAAAAAGAACCACATATTGTAGAAAAAATACCTATCACCTGTTGCATACGTGGTCACCAGCTCTTTTCATATGTCCAGGGGGGGCCTGCTTTAGGTGTATATGACCAGTAACCCATTCATTGAGAAACGTCGTCTTCAGTGTTGAATTTTCTTCGTTAAGTCTCAGAATGAAGTCGCTATTCTTGTGGACAACTCGAATCTTGAGTTTCTCTCTTGGTCATAGGACCAATGCAATCGACGTGAGTGTCTGTCTTGACGCCACGTATGCATTGGTATCAAGTCAGAAAAGCGATATCTGTTCTGGTCGTGGTGACAATTCACTTGGAAGTTTATGTCCATTGAAAGGTGAAGTGGCCGTTGGCGACTGTCATCCGTTTTTGCCTTCGTTCCTTGTGGATGGAGGAGGCTGCATCTTACAAGAAGATACCGAGTGTCGAATTATCATGGGGACGACATGGGGCTGTGTATTGCCGTCTATTGGTTGTAAACAACAGGAAACATCATGTCCGACATGGGTCGTGACAAACTCAGATGAGACCGTGAACATCGATGTCAGCCACTCCGTTAATGGGAACGAGAAGTATGACGACAACTGGTTCGTCCAGACGTCACCAGTGACGAAACTCTATAATTGTGGAGACAAGCCGACGCCGGCACCGACACCGACATCGACAGAAGCTCCGACACCGGCGTTGACGGAAGCTCCGACGCCGCAACCAACAATATTCGCTCCAGCACCGAAGCCATTAGTATCGAGCATTTTGAAACCACCCGTAATTGAGCCGCCGACTGCATGCCAAGGTGGGAATCAATGATTTCGTCATTTACTACGATGAAGCCTAGGATGCCATGTCCGCCGACAATTGAACTAGTCACACCTCGTCCGACGATTACGATCCCAGAAACCTCACACCTGGACACGACAGCACCTGTTACACCTTCCACTAGACGATGTTTAGTGACGCTGCTCCCAAACACAACGAAGCCTGATACGCCATGTTCTAGTACGACAGGGCAAGCGACGTCTCCATCGATGTCCGACTTCGACAGAGCTTACACCGTCTCTAACCACGCCGTGTCCAAGTACAATGGATCCTCTACACCGACTTGACAACGCCGTGCTCGAGTACAAGAGAGCTTATAACATTTCATAGAAATAGCGACACCTTTGTCAACAACACTGGCCAGGGTACACCAGACTCAGTAACGTATAGGCCAGCGATCGCGTGTCCAAGCACGACAAAACTTGCAAATCTCCGATTACGCCGTGTCCAAGCACGATAGAGCAAGTAATAGAACTAGCAACGCCACCAGAGACAGTATAAATCTCGTCAACTTCCTCCCAGACATATCATGCCTTACCCATCACTTGAAGCGGAACGAAAAGGAGATACCGACTGGGTGGCATTCTCGCTTACAATGTGGATAAAGCTACTAGATTCATGACCCTCAACAACTTGAAAATCCGAGATCTCTTCATTGAGACGCTTGCCTGCTACCAGGCTATCTACTACCCAGCGCGCTCGTACGACATGTATCCCCCTCTTCGTCGCCTTATCGTACTTCATACCAAAAGGTATCAGGCAGACCAAGTGAGTGTTTTGCGTGCTGAGTGTTGTCGTGACAGTTGCGCCAGCAATCCGAAGTAGTTCAACCACCACAAGCTGTTCAATGCCACGATATACGGAAGTCGAGACCACCACGTCTTGAAAACCTGGTAGAGGCACTGGGTTCGTGAACAAAGCCCGCGGGTAGTTGGCACTTACTCCAAATAGTTTGTGTGAAGAGAATGAAAGCTTTGTCCTGGCAGCTAACGAGCAGTTGACCCACAAATCCGACACAAATTGCAACATCCTTTGCCGCGGCTTCCTGTTATGACGCATTCGCTTTTGAGGTCTATCAACAACCTCAGCGTTATCTTCATCGGTATTTCGTAGGTTGCGCTGGAATTGGTGAATACGTTCTTGCATCTTGAGTGCGTCCTGCTCGTTCATCACCACACCAGTACACACAACTACATGACTCAGAAACGAAAACTGTTCGGGATCTAAACGTGGGAAATCAATGGCAGCAATTGCAATGGCCTCGGCGCCACCTCTCTCTCCACGAATGTTCTTTAGCATTGGCTTGATCATGTGTTGGTCTTCAGGGTCTTGGCATAGCAGTAAGAACGAGTAACCCGCAAAGATACTCCTCCTCTTACCTTTTGAAGACAACTGCATCACTTTTGATGTTGTTAAGATGCTCTTCCCGTCTTCGTTTTGTAGCATATCTTCAGCCAGTGCAAGTGGGTCTAAGCTCACTTTGTTTTTCACCTCAACATGACCTTGCTCGACAGCAACGGGAGGACTGCTACCACCAATAACAGAGACTACATGATCGCCGGTTTGATGGTCAGTCTCGAAAACATGCACATCGAACTCAACTGGATACAATGCCTCTGGTTGTAAGTCCATACACGTGACACAATCAAGCAGCCAACTAGCCGATACGAAGTGCACCTCTTTCACAGCAGAACTAGCAATCACGCGAGCGCGGATTGCATCGAGAGTCTGTTTATCCGATAGAGACGCGCTCACAACCACGTGCGTCACTTGACGTACAACCACGTTATGGAAAATTGTCCCCATACCAGTCCGTATCAACCGCTGAAGTAGTGAATTCATCTGTGGTGCGAATCCCAGCAGGTACAAGACGCAACCGTCGAACAAATTCATCCATTCCTCATCGTCTTCCTTGTCAATCACATCCAGATCTTTACAATCTTCATGATGTCTACGACGATATTTTCTCACATACTCGGGCAATGCTGCTACAAGTTCCTGAGCCTTCTTCCATTGATTCAGTGCAATATTGTTCGGCTGCAAGCTCGGCTGATCCATTTCCGATTGCAATGCAAATTCTTCCTCTTCTACCAAGATCTGTCTCTCTAGACACGCATACAGCCACCCAAGATGCACCACTGGAATATGATTAGCCACTGCTGCTTCATATTTAGCCCCTTCTGGATGCTTCATGACCAAGAAACAGCAACAACAAGTAGCACTCGTGTCAGCTTGAAAGATCTCCACATTCACACCCATTTAGCAAGACTCTTCTTACCTGTGCAATAAGCACACTAGTGAACCCCAGTTCCAGTCGTCCATCATATTGAGCTCCATGACTTGTAGCTAATTGTTCCACCGTCTCCTTCTCTTCGACTGTAAGTCCGGATGTGCACAAACCCATTCCTTCGAGCAGCTTGAGACTAAAGTCCTGAACCTTTAGCAGCTTCTGAGCTCGAAAGCTCTCAAAGACCCAACAAGGTGAGACCACAATTAGCTCGTAAGCTACAGCAGTCTACAGATAAATAAACATTTGAACAAGTATCGTCAAATGGATGGATGCTCCATGGCTGGACTCAATTGGTTTGACGTCATTTCACGAGCGTTTTCCTCCGTACGCGGTGTTTCAAAGAGCCTACAGCATTGGCAATGAGATGGGTAGTAGTTTCCACGTCCAGATCGTCTTGGAAATGACCACCACAAGCTACAATCATCTTCCGTACTTGTTCCTGGTAGAAAGGATGGTTATTGATTGCAACGCAAGACGAGATCGAAAGCGAGTTAGAGCGTGACAACTTCGTGCCTTTGAAAGAGAAGACACAGACAAAGAAGACTAGAAAACACCTTGACGTCTCGTTCCAACCCCGTCGAGCATAGCCACAGTCCCTTAAAAATCAGCTTTCGATCTCTCATAGTGGACACTTGCTTCTCAATTTTATTCTCTCTCCTTATTAAGATCAACAAAGCAATGGCCAGGAACCATGCAGCCATGCAATGAATGACAATCGCTTCATTCGAAAACATCTTTGAACACTCTCCGATAGTGCAATGGGGACTTTGATCGGGTCTAGCGGTGACGCATTTCCTTGGCTGCAGTATCCATGACCATGGCTTGACGACGGCCTTTACCACGACGCTCGCGGCCAAAAGAGAACGACAGCTCAGTGTCGCCAGTAGCTACAGCACTGCATAAAACGTCAAAGCAAAGCTCGATCTTGCGGAGCTGATGGAGAAGAAGAAAATGCTCACTGCCCTTAGGAATCAGTTCGTCGTAGTACGCATTGACTTCAATCTCAATTTCCTGTAGACACAATGACACATGACACGAGATGAATTGACAAGCTACGCATGGTCACTCAAAGCAGATTCATACGCACCTTCAATTGATTCTCGTAAAGCGGGAGCTGGTCCTTGTTCATTGCTTTGCTGCTTATCGACGAACGTGGCTGGAACATGAAACGTGGGGCACGCAAAGGGTACTCTGGCGATATCTCAACGATAGCAGACACCTTTGTCGGACCATTTTTAAAGCAAGCACGAAAGTATTGACAGCCTAACGTGGACAATTGGAAATGGGCGTACGGACGCATTGGTGGAGCAGCACTCTCTTTGAAAAACTGGAAAACATCTTGCGGTGGCACGGGAAATTCCTTCCACTCCTCGAGATGGGTCTTCACTTTTTGTGGGAACAAATGGCGCGCAAGCGGATGTACAAAGTGTGTGTCGTCGTCTACTGACTGATTTGAAGCATCAACGGATCGGGCCAGCAGGTCTAGGTGCTTCTTGAGCACCGCTGTAGCCACGAAACGCTTCACAAGTTGGTTCATGACATTACGTACTGACGGCTCTGGTCGACGATAAGTAGCATTAGTGTCCATTCGGGACGGATCTAGGCGCTTTACCGGGTTCAGACCGCAGATCCACTGTGCCCAGTAGTACGGTCGGCATGTAGCATTCACAGGAAACTCTACTTCAACTCGCCCATCTTCGCTGTCATGTTGAAACGTGTAGTTCACAGCCAATTGAGGTACGGTCAGCCCATCGTCACCAGGGAATAGATTCATCAAGATATTTCGCTGGTGGTTGCCTTGATTGTAGCTTGCAGGGACAGTTTTCACAACCTCGGCCGTGACAATCTTGGCCACTGGAAAGTATTGAAACATCACGGTAAAAGAGCCTGAGACGTTCTTTGTCGACTGTCCGCTCTTGTCGGCATCAAGAGGGACCTGGACGGAAGCTGTCAGCTGTAAAGCCTTTGCATGTGGTTTCCATAGATTTAAGGCGGACGCAGATGTAGCATCGACTAGTTCATCTGGGTCTTGATGAAAAGTCTTCGATCCCACTGTTTCGTCCTTAGTCTCTTCCTCTTCTAATGGTGATGCATGAGGACGCAATTCCAACAGCTTCTCCGCAGTATGCGTTGGTACTACAATCTCTCCACATTCCGGCGGCTCTTGAACTGCATCCGCTCCACGTTTCATTGACGGTGAACGAGAGGGTACACATGGTGTCGAAATCACTCTAGTAATACTAGTAGATGGAGAGCGTGACGATGTTTTCAATCTCTTCACTCTAGTTGTCACTTGTTCCTGTCGATCAAGTGCCAATGGAAAGCTCCGTTTGCGAAATGCACCCACGTGCTTGGTACCCACTGAATCAACAACCTCGAGCATCAATTGCTTCCCTGCATCTCCACTAGCACTTTGATATGCTTCCAATTCACAATAAAGTGCATATAATGGAGTCGCAAGTTCCATTGCAGCATGTTCATGTTTTTTTTGCTGAGCTGATTTTGGTTCGCCCATGTATTTTTGCAATCCCATTGTAGCAGCTTCAATTCCATTCAACTGATCTGGTAATGCATCCAAAAAAGCTTGTTTCATCTCAGTCGTCTCCTCCACTTTAGCAATTTTTACTCGTAGTTCTTTCAATTCCAGCTGCAGACTAACATAATACAATACATTTCAAAAACAGACCCATTAGTTTTTTTTGCATTAGTCACAAAGTTTTTACGTTTTAACAAAATTTTAGCCTTTGTTTTTTGGTACCTTTTTCTTGCATGTAACTCGAAGGTAAGCTGATCCAAATGTTGCCGATGTACATCAAAGTCCACTTTTATTGGGACAGCCCCATCCGTAAACTCAATTTTGTCCATTTCTTTGGTATTAAAACCTTGACAACGTTGAATTTCACGCAATAAATGATCCTTTTCATACAATAAATTTTGTAATTGTAATTGATGCGTCTCGGCCACGTTCTTTTGTTCGTGCACCCGTGTCCGACGTGTCTCAGCCTCTAAAAACGTCTCACGTAACCCCGATTTCATCGCACTTAAGAGAAAAAGCACACGCCACTGACGTTCTTTTTGACGCGTCTCATCCTTCAGATGAAGATCTCGTTGTTCGTATAATGCAGTGACTTCATCTCGAAGTGCCTGACACGTCGCTTGAAGCTGTTTTAGCTTGATCCCTTCGGTCGCTACCATTCTTGTCGTGTTAGCTCACAATTATAATAATAGATTTTTGATTTCGTATCATTTTTGTTTTTTAATTATAGTACACAATAATTTTTAAAAGCAATACCTTGAAGAATTAATAGTTTACAATAAAGAGGTACGCGTGTAACTTGGTTACGCATTGACTGGCCTCCATCGCTCGTCATGCTTCGTGCTGCTTTTCACTCGCGTGTCGTCTTCATTCGTCCACAGACAACACGTGCCTATGCAAAGAAAGCGCCTTCATCGCAATCAGTATTGCGTCCAATACATTTTGAACACGATGAAGATGTACGTAGGAAGAAAAAAACCAAGGAATTGCAAAAACAATTATTTTATTCTTCCAAGAGCTCTTTTAACTTGATGGTATTATTATTATTATTTTCTTAATTGTTTAGGACACTATTGACCGACCATTTCGTATTGTGGGAGTACGTGATGTAGAAGTGTTGGATTGGGAGTATCCAACACGTGCGGAATCGGATCAAAAGAATAAAAATCGTGTACTACGGAATCGTTTTGAACATCCAAACTTTATCAGTCTTTGGGTCGACAAATTGAGTGAAGTGGAGGGATATCTCAAGCAGGAAAAAGTACCGTATTCAAGTGAAGGGATTGTCAAAGGTCCAGAAGGTCATGATGTACTGGTGATTCCTCCTAGTGACGACAAGAGCATGGAGTTTTTTAACTTGTGTGACAATCCGACAATGGTTGAGCTCGTACAAGCTACTCCTGAGATTATCAAGGAGTTTAAAGAAGACAATGAAGTGGACAATGAATAGGCAGAGGAAGCATGAGAGCCTAGATGAAGGAAATATGGTACGCAGGTGAGCCAGAGCTGTGCAGAGATACGCTACAATGTACGAGCGTACATGGTTTTGAGATCATTGTTAAAGCTTGAATGAATAGCACGTGTACGACTGACTGCTGGGCTTTGATACATAGTATATTGTTCGTTCGCTTTGATCAAAAACTTATGCTAATACTCGTCCGTCGAACCTCGTCTCTCTTCCCAACGAAAAACCAGCACACATTGTGTTTAGAAAATCTTCCACTGGATGCAGTTACTTCAACCACGGGTGTTTCAATGCATCAGCAGCAGTAATACGCTCCTCTGGTTTTCGCACAAGTAACGACTCGATAAAATGCTTCAAGTCTTCGGATGCACCACTCCACGCCTCATCCGAGAAAAATACTTTCTTCACACCCTCAGCCGTTGGTAAAAATACTGGCGCACATCCACTCATCAGCACATATGTCACCACGCCTACACTCCAGAGATCAGCCTCCGTGCCATATCCCTTGCCGCTCATTACTTCAGGCGCAATGTAGTCGCGTGTTCCACACTTGGTGTGTGCTCTAGCCATGCGATTGCGTACCATGTCGATTGAAGACGACAAGCCAGAGACATTCGTAGCAGGTGCATCGTGGAGGTTTGCCACCTCAGACAGACTTTCATGAGGTGTTAGAACGTTGTCGTGGCCATGACCATCGAGTTTGCGCGCAATACCAAAGTCCGAGAGTTTGATATCGCTCACGTCTTGACTGTTGGGAGGTAGCAGGATATTTTCCGGCTTAATGTCGCGATGCACAATGCATTCATTGTGCAAGTGTGCGACTGTACGCACGAGCTTACGAATAAGTGGGCGCGTTGTGGACTCGGGTAGTGGTCCGTTCCGATCGATAAACTCGAAAAGCTCCTGACCGCACATCTCCATGACCAAAAACACACACTCGTTGTTCTCAAAAAGCTTCAGAAGGCGCACGACACCATCGTGACGCAGTCCATACATAATCTCCAGCTCTCGCTTGAGAAATCGTATCTCGATCATCTGCCTCTTGTCAATAATCTTCACTGCAAAGTGCTCGCCCGTCGACTTGTTCGTACACCGCTTAACCACTGAGTATTTCCCAGATCCTAGCACGGCACCCACGTTATACTTGTCATGAAAATCTCGTGCAACGGGTACACTATCTAGCAACTTTTCAATCGAAAAGAGCTGCGTCGGCGTCCGTGTGTTCATACTCGGGTCCAGATCGTTTGAAAGCGAGAGCGACATCCGTCCCGATGGCGGCGTCACCTTTTCCTTGATAGGCTGCAAAAAAATAGGCGGATTGGACAGCGCATCGCTGTCAAACATGAGTAACGGACGTGTATTTTTCGTTGTCGTGTGCTCCTCCACCTTCATCATCGAAGGTCGCTGCACTTCTGACTCCACTGTAGCTCGTACAAACGGGTTCTGTGATCCTCTCATCAAGAATGGGTCACTAAAGTCATCTCCAGATGTCGGGACAGCAGGTGAATGCATGTCCATGGACGAAAAGTCCATCGAAAGGTGCTCCAGAGCCGCATTCTTTCTTTTAACAGCCGGTCCACGTAGTACACGTTGAACAAGTGCAGGATTCTGGTGTACAATGAACTGTTCCATGGCATCCACAACTTGTTCATCACCTACAATGAGCAAGTCTTCAATCAGTTCCTTCTCACGAGGAGATACATCCATCTTGGCCAGATCTGACGCGTAACGATGTACTCTCTCGACATTGTTCGTGACTGATTTGGCTCTTCCTTTGCGTTTGCTTCCCATGGGGGAGCTAGAAGGACTTTCGTTAACAATAGCGCGAGATGTCAACACAGGAGTAAGACATCCTTGTGCTACAAGTGTCGAGAGCTCTTCACAGGGTTTATAGACTAAAACTTGTCCATTTTGCAAGTCCGTAAGACTTGTCACAAGTATCTCATGATCTTCTTGACGTGTCCATAGTCTTGAATTGGCTGCAAAGGCAGTAAATGACTTGCCAAATGCAAGTTTATGAAACTGAACAATAAGTTCCTTGACTGATAAGAATGTTGATGTCAAATCAATTGCAACAGTACCCGATCGATCTTTCATACGAACGTAAACCGTCTTAATAATCGGATGTAATTGAATTGATAGCGACGACGTCATGGGGATCATACCCACGTCTGGCATGAGAAAGAAAGAAAAAAGAGTGAGACTTGGAATGGGAAGAACGATTCTCCAACACGAAACTGTTAACTGACGACGACGTATTTTAAATGGTAGTACGGTACTACTTTGTGTTGTTCGTACGTGCGAGAGAAAAAGCGATACATGTGACTGGAGTGTACTAGGGTTTCGGATCGTCTCACCAGCCGGAGTGCATAGACAGTCCCTCCCTCCTCTAAGAGGGAGGTCCTTGAAGTACCACAAAAGGATGTGAGTGGTAGTTATACTAGACCATGAGCCATTTGATCACTATCGACATGTTCCGTAGAGCTCAACAATACAAACATGTATCTGCATTGTTCTATACATGCGTTTTTCATTTCATGGTGGAAAAGACGACGCCAACGAATGTGTCGCATCAGCTCCAGAAGACCTTCGTAAATTTTAGTGTCATTGTTGCCATGCTTTCCAAGGAAAAGCAACAGCTGGTACCTCACGAACAAACAGCAAGAATAAAGTGTGATCGCGACGTGGCAATAACTTGCTTTAGCGCCGGCTACTAGTAGGAAAGAGGCTTAGTTTAATCAAGTTTGGTGCATGTAAAATCAGTACTTTGCAGGCACGCAAAGCTTTAGTACGCTATTTAACAGGTGCGATCTATCGCAGAAACAGCTGCACGAGAAAATAACTTGATGGTATTGGTGCATGTTCCTTGTCGTGCTGCTGGATGGGCGACCCTATGGGATTGTTCCACCGTAGAGACGTCATTCGATTCGGTGCGGAAGCATGTCGGAGTCCTCAGTACTGGCTCAATTTTTCCAGGCATAAGAAGGTCACGAATCTCACTGGCAGAGCTCGTCGTTGCATTGCGTTTGGAAGAAGTACCGGGCGATCAAGCAACGACAGTCCGTATCTAAACGTACTGTACATCTTCTTACAAAGCAAATGAGGTCAGCGAGCTGATACATGTCGTGCGGCCTCGAAGTAGCTACAAGCTGAACGTTTCTAAGGTAACATAGCATAAAAAAGTTTGGATGGAGGTTTAAGGAAGAAGGTAAAGGTGCACGACAGCAATAACGGCTGCATAAACAACTGTTTCTCGAAGCGGCTCTAAAGACGTAAGCTTATCTGCGAAAAATGGCTAGCAGCAGCCTAGCTCAACGTCGCACAAATGGAATCGTGCTAACAGTTAGTAATTTGACCAAGGTACTTCTATTAAGCAAGTATTGACTAGGTCAAGAAACATATCACAAACAATTTTGATGTAGAACAGTGTATGTGGGTTGTAATTGGCTCCTTGCAACACGATAGTAGTTTGCGAAGGGTTCCTATCATGAACAACCGCTTGTTATGTGCAGCCAATAGCAGTATGGTTGGCCATCGAGAAAGACACAACAACTGTGGCAGATTTGGCTGCACGCGATAAAAGGGAAAAGATCGACAACATAAATAGTGTTTACAAACACAAAGGAAGTACAAACTAGAAAGAATCAGGCCAGCAAACTGGACTTCGGTATGCTCTCAATCATTAGATATCAGCCCCTCAGGATAAACATCACTTCCTTTCCATATTTTCTGCTTTACACTTCATTAGGCTCTCCTGGTACGATCAAATATAGAAATGAGAGTCGTCTTCTTCCTTCTGTCTCGCACCAACCAACCGTTGTTTTCCTCTCTAAGCGCATACCTCTCCTTTCCAAACAAATACCGACTTGTCCCCTTTGCATACAAATCGCTTTTGTGATACGGTCACTAGGAAGTCTTATGCCACGAATGACAGCGTTATCATTATGGGAAGCTCATGGATCAACATCCTTTATGCTTGCCACTGGTTGCGACACAATTGATACATTATTAAACGGAGGTTTTCGCTCTGGTTTATTAACAGAAATCTGTGGTGAAGCTTCAGCTGGAAAGACGCAAATGTGTTTGCAAATGCTATTGCAATGCTGTCTCCCACAATCTCTTGGTGGACTAGAAGGCACGGCCTGTTATATCAGTACAGAAGGTGTAGGATCCGTCAAACGACTGCATGATCTTGCTCATACTTATGCACAACGATACAAGACTGTATCAAGTGTCGGTCTTAAACGTAAACGTGGTGACTCAATGCTAAAGTTGACAAGCGGTGACTTTCTCGATAGTATCTTTATCGAGCAGCTCTATACTGTTGATGACTTTTTGAGTCTATTGGTCTCTGCATTGCACGAATGAATCATAAAGAGCTTATGACGCATTCAATTGCTTACTTTTGTAATTGGGGTCATGATGTGCATAGCAAACAAGACTGCCAACTCTACTGGCGGAACAGAATACCAAGCTCGTAGTACTCGACTCGGTCGCAGCAATCTTTCGTCTCGAGTCCACATCTTCTGTCAAGGTTCTTTCCAGTCTTCATTTTTTCTTTCTCTTCATTTATTGTGGAAGCTCATTGCTCCTGGTCTTAATAGGACGCAGCGGGGCGCTCGCGCACCATGTTTCACATGGCTAACTGCATGCGAATCCTGAGCGACGAGTACGGCGTCGTGTTCATAGTGACCAATCAAGTTACGGGTGACTTTGATCCTCGCTCGGCAGCAACCGGGAACGGCCAACGTCCGGCATTAGGTCTCTCATGGTCGCACTGCATCAACCAGCGGTACGTTCCTACCCTTTAAGAGGTCATTTCACTCAGCTTGTCCGACTCAATTTTTCGTCGTCTTCTTTCAGTCTTGTGATCACAAGAAACACCGACTCAAGTCAGCGTCAACTCAAAGTAACTTTTTCACCGCATCTTCCAGCAAAAACCTGCAGCTTCCAAATCACGAGTGACGGTGTTCGACCGGTTAACGGAGACTGAGTCAAGACTACCAGATGTTCCAGTGGTATGAGACCCCTACCATGAAGTCGGACAAATTACTTGAAAAGGTACGATTGACATGATCACAACATTGTATTGATTTGGTCTCACTAGGCCTCTCATCTGCTTTTGAATATTTTTCCGTTATTCGTACGAAGTCCTTCACAAAGCCATCAATGGCGATGTGCTACTAGGTCGAGTAGGCACACAATCTTTTTTATCTCCAAAACATTCAACTTGCATCGCAGAGTAGACTCCATAGCATGGTCACGACCAAGCAAATGCATAACATGATTTTGTCTCGACCCAACAGTTGCGAATTCCGCAGTGGCATGTCCGTTCAGGTTCACCATTGTAGATATGTGCCATACCTTGTTGCAAAATGTTTGTAGCTAACATGTAGCGTTTCGTGTCATTAGGAGCTCAAACACTTGACGGCACAGCGTCAGCATTTCGAGTTCTATGCTCGCAATCCTCCACGGGCTGTGGACTCGACTTCTCGCTCATCGTCGCTGTCTACGTCACCACAAGGCTACATGGATCCTTTCAGTCAACGTGGACTTGCGACCGACAAGATGTTTATCACGTGTGGTGGACAGGAAGTTATCTTTATGGAAGGCGTTGTCAATGCTCCCAAAGAGGTTTCTAATTGACAATTTGTCAGGGACGGACGAAGTTGTAACAAGAGAAGAAAGACCTATGTAGACTACAGAATGCTTGTTCATCAAGCCTTATCAAACAAGCAAACACTTTGTTAATTATGTTGCTATAGAAAGTAGTGCGTGTACGAATGGATAGTAACGTACGTTGTCATTGACAAAGTAAACAGTTGCAGTCCTACTACTATACATGCTTTATCGCACTTCCATTCACTGATTGATGTCTAATCACCAGCTCACTTGATGCCACAATAGCATAAATGGGTATTTGACAGCGATCCGCCGCTGGTCAAGGGGAAATCCCAGGAATTCACCCAACTAGTGAAGTGCAAGCTCATCCGACATGGAGTCATCTTTTTTCCCAACCCACAGATCCACCACTATCCATGGTCTGCACCGCCTACGGATCCCAATCATCGACTATTTACTTTCCTGAAACAGCAAGCTTTTCAGGCGACAAAGTGCTGTCTCGTAGCACCGCTGGAGCAGGTCATCGATCGGCTAGCCACCAAGAGCCAGGCCCGGCTCATCAGTCATTGCAAGAGCACACCTCAACAACCTACCTACTTACTGGACTGGCTCAAGCACTGCGCAAACTGTAACGTACCACGTATCTCGCCGCAAGTCACAGCAAAGCTCTTAGCCCGGTATTCAAAAGACATAGATCAAGTCGCCACAGCCTGGAGGACCATTTTGGGAAGTCGCAGTGACCGTCATCATTACAATGTTCTGGCAACTTTGCGTGGACAGCGTTTTTCACAGTGCGAATAGCCCGATGCAAGCCAGTGAAGCTTTGATCAGGGGAAGGATTCAGCTTCAACTGAGGGCGCTCATCAAACGTCTCCATTGCAGGGCGGACACAGTCGTACGTGGCGCCCAACTATCTGCATGTAACGACAGATTTACATCAGAACCGAGAGGGCAGTCCGGCGTTCATAAACGTGCTGCCAGCCGTAGGCAATGCCTGGACCCTCTAGCGTTGCTAGTGTGGTTAACTTCCTATCAGAGATCTTGCAGCAAGTAGACTCTCTCTCAAGATTTAAAGATTTCGACAATTGTGACGTGTCATTGACAGCAAGTGATGACACACTGACGCCATCTCCTAGAACTGATGGTACTGCTACTGATGTCAAGGTGACAACATAGGCGAAGAAGGATGCTAAGATGGAAGAAAAAGAGAAGAATGGAGAGTTGGAAGAGCAGAGATTGAAGAGATAAAGATGGAGATTAAAGAGTGAACCTGATAAAGATATAGGATCGAGTTGCAGAAGGCGTGGTTTTTGAGTGGATGCAGTTTGCAAAACAGATTTATCTTTTTTGTCAGCATGTGGTGACGGATGCAGAGTATCGCGAGTAGCCTGAAGCGAGACGAAAGGGTGTGGAATTGCTGCATTTTGCGAGGACGCTGAAGCAAAAATGGAGGCTGCGGCTCGTAAAGAAGAGAAAGAAGCTGCTTGCAATGAGAAAGTAATAACGACACGGCAGAAAAGAGTGCCGTAGACGAGAACGATGATCAAGCAATGAAGGCCACTGCTTTGATTCTCACGCGTCGAGAAGTAAGACAGCCAACGAAGAATTTCTTGACCCTGAATCGTTTTCACCCCAACGCGCCTCAACGCGAATCCGAAAACGCCGGGTATTGCCAGTGATGGTACGGGTTCTGCAGCTCCCTCTCTTTCTTCGCGCAACTCTCGAAAATGCATGCACGTCGCATCTGTATCTGCTGCGTCTGCGAGCAAGGAAGTGAGTGCCTCGGAATGTCTTGACGCCTCTGCTTCTGAAGCAGACACGAAGTTACGCGAAGAAAGTAAAACGACCAAGTCTCCAGCAAAACATACCCCGGTACGCAGGTGTCGACCCTTATTGCCAGCAACACGTATCAGCTCACGTCAACAAAAAACGACGAGGTGCTGCTGCTGCAGCAGCGGCGGCCGCTGATAGTACGGGTAATGGCAACGAAGAAGAGCATGGCGGTAGTGAGGCTCTTTCTCGGTCGCGAAAAAAGAAGATGATGATGATGGCGCTAATGGGGAGAATGAAAAGACGAAGAAACGTTGAGCAGGAGAAAGAACAACTGACTTCGAAGAAGAAAAAAACAGCACCAAAAACGAGATCTCGAAGAAAAAAGTTGGCGCAAAGCGATAAGCAAAATACAATGAGCAAATCATCAGCAAGGTTTGAGACACAAACCTTCGTCAAGTTTCTCTTGCTCAATTCACTGTTGACATAGCAAGCTACACCGTGTACATCTTGAACAGCGAATGAAGTAATTTTAAATTCCGTGATGGTTGCAAAGGCTCTATCTATCCACTGTAAATACTTCCCACAACTCTTTTCAAAGCCCACAGAAGCTCCTGAACGCATGTCACGCACGTCCACAATGTGAGATTGCTTTGCCTCGACGTGATGGTCAAAACGACAGCGACATCGCCGTTCATCACTGTCTTGTCTTCATCAATAAGCAGCAGTTTTCCATACTGGCCATTTTCGGCGTGGGCGCTCCACCACTCCTAGTAGTCACGAAATGCCAGTATACTAGCACCTTCAAGCATACCTTCAGGCGTCTCCTGGATAGACTGATATTCGGAAATCACTCTCAGTTGTTGGGTGAGTAGGCCCCTTCCTTCGCGAGCTTGGTGGAGAATGGTACCTTGATGAGCGTGCCCAAAGCTAAAGCCGTGTCGTCAGCTTCGAATCCATCACGGTAGAACGTAGTAGCACAACGAGCACTTGGTTGTAGCTTGAGACGGAAATGGTCTGCCATTGTTGGAAGTCCGATCAGGTGGTGACCGTCTACAAGGAGATCCAATTCCTGTACAACCCCTACAATATCGTCACCAATAGTACGAAACACAAGCGTCACATTGAGCTCCTCTTACGTCACATTGAGAGACGTAAAGTAAGATAGAAATTGAAAAATGATGGCAACAAGTAGTACCGTCCTTGACTCCACGCTTCCTGTAGTCGAGACTTGGATACGTTACAGCCAATTGCTTGGTAGCTTCATGTTGTTTTCCGTCAAGTAAATGGAGCTTTTGCATCACGTCTTAAAGTGATTGTCGGACACGAGAACGGGAGCATACTCTTTTGCAGGCTGATACCAGACTCAACGTAGCTCCGAAGCCATCCAATGAGCAACGCAGTCCTGAGAACAGGTTCTTTGGCACGGTAACCGAACGTGCTACGACACCAGCAGCATCCGACATGATGACAGTACGATTCAAGTCAAAATGCAGCACCATATTGCGCCGTTTCTCAGTCGCCATCACAATTGAAGAAAACGGTATAACTGGCTGGAGTTATGTTTGAGCATAACTTGAAATACCACATTATCCTCTTTACCAGCTTTGATTTGGCTGAACCTGAGAGACAAAAACTATTAATCGCTAGAAATCCAATTGTCCACTAGTGCATGTATGGTACGCGTACATGAACGTTGACACGCTGCGTTGTAGAAGCACACAATTAGGTAGGCAATTTACTTTTTGTCTTTGTCACTTGTTAATGGCACGCCTTCAATATCGTCAAGATAGGAACCGTTTGGAAACAGCCTCGTGCACAACGTAATGTTCTCCAGACTCAACACTCTATTTTGCGTCTTTTATTACTCCTATACAATCCGCGCCATGTCAGTTTGCCATCTCGATTATATCTACGCATGGTCGAAGGGGTTTGCTAGCACATATATGATTAAATTATAGAAATGCTATGTTGCCGGGGTCCTTCGTAGGAGAGAGTGATTGATACCTATGCACCAGAAATAGCCGATCAAAGTGGCAAGGCATTTTCAATACACACGCAAAACTCGCCTTGATTGCGAATACGTAAATGTTCTTTAGAGTCAATCGAATATTTTTTCCTTAGCCTAGTGTTGACTACGTCCTTCGAATCCTTCCATTGTTCCCAGAGAAAGTAGTTACAAAAGTTTGAGTACCGTTGCATAGCCTTTGTAAGATCGGGCTATCAAAAGTTATTGTCGAGGGAGCAGGTTCAAGTTGACTCCGGTATAGCCTCGAAACCTTCAGGCGGAGGGGGTAGCTCGCTCGAGTCCAAACCATTCTGCCGTTTCGCCAAAGGACGCTCTACCGAGTCGAAACTTTCAGCTGGTAGCTCGTTCAAGTCCAAACTTTCAGTCGGTAGCTCGTTTAAGGTGTTACCTTCAGCTGGTAGCTCGCTCGAGTCCAAACCATTCTGCCGTTTCGCCAAAGGACGCTTTACCGAGTCGAAACTTTCAGCTGGTAGTTCGTTCAAGTCCAAACTTTCAGTCGGTAGCTCATTTAAGGTGTTACCTTCAGCTGGTAGCTCGCTCGAGTCCAAACCTTTCTGCCGTTTCGCCAAAAGACGCTCTACCGAGTCGAAACTTTCAGCTGGTAGCTCGTTCAAGTCCAAACTTTCAGTCGGTAGCTCGTTTAAGGTGTTACTTTCAGCTGGTAGCTCGTTCAAGTCCAAACCTTTCTGCTGTTTCGCCGGTAGCTCGCTCATGTCGTGAGTTATCTTCCGTTTCTTCGGTGGAAGCTCTAACGAATCGAGACTTTCAGCTGGTAGCTCGTTCGAGTCCAAACCTTTCTGCTGTTTCGCCGGTAGCTCGCTCATGTCGTGAATTATCTTCCGTTTCTTCGGTGGAAGCTCTAACGAATCGAGACTTTCAGCTGGTAGCTCGTTCGAGTCCAAACTTTCACTCGGTAGCTCGTTCAAGGTGAAACTTTCCACCGGTAGCTTGCTCAATGGTGCTTCTGGTCGCGCTTCTGCTTCTGCTAGTGCTTTTGGTCGTGCTTCTAATCGTGCTTCTGACGGTACTTCTGATGATGCTTTTAGTGGGGCTTCTGGTAAGGCTTCTTCTTCTGCTAGAGCTTCTGGTCGTGCTTCCAATGGGGCTTCTGGTAGAGCTTCTGGTAGGGCTTCTGGTGAAGCTTCCAATGGGGCGTCTAATGGTGCTGCTGCTGGTGGTAATGCTAATGCTGGTGCTGGTGGACGCTCTTCCAAGTCCAAATTATGTGGTTTTAAAGATTTCAGCGATTTTTTTTTCAAAGTTTCTTGCAGCACCAAAAAAATGGATCTCCTTCCCTTGTTTGCGCCATCTATAGCACCCACCAGAGCATCTTTTCTCTTCCTTCCTTCACTTGCGCCATCTAGAGCGCCCACCAAAGCACTTTCGCTCTCGCCCCCTTCATTTGCGCCATCTAGAGCACCCACCGAAGCACTTTCGCTCTTGCCCCCTTCGTTTGCATCATCTAGAGCACCCTTTCCCTTCTCCTTCTTCTTCTTCTTAATTGCGTCATCTAGAGCACCCATGAGAGCATCCTTACTCTTAAAATGAGATAATAGTTTGTCAAGCATCGCATCATATTTCTTCTTCTTGGTACTGTATCGTTCCTCGATAAATTGGGCCCACTTGAAAAAAACTGGGCTTTCCAAAGGGTTCCCATTCTCCTTGTGGAGCTGCAAAAGGTCAAAAAACTTTCTGTCAGCTATTTTGTCGCGGTCCCACTCTTCGACCTGAAAGTCCAGCAGACGTATGGCGAGGTTTTTCGCTTCAAGTAAATTTGATTGTGCTCCAACAACCAGAACCTTGGTCAGATCGCCCTCGTAAAGTTTTGCCAAGACGTCAAACATCTTCTTAGCTCGTTCAGTTATGATACTCTGGTCATCCTTCTCAATTTCTTTTGCTGGGTACTTAGCCTTTACGAAAGCGATCCACTGGAAAAAGACTGGGTTTATGAAAACATTTTTATTTTTATCCTTGAGTCCCAAAAGCTCGAATACTTCTTCCTCATCTTTCTCGGCGTTTACCCACTGATCGACTTGATAATCTAGCATTTTTTTAACAATCTGATCCTTACTTTTACCATCCTTATTCATTACCAGAGCACTGGCGAGAGCATGTTCAGTCTCCAACTTATGTTCCAATACCTTGAATATCGCATTATCTACCACATGTGGTGAAGTCTCGTACAATTTCGCCACTAATGTCCGCAAATGGAATAAATGTTTGCTGGTAAACCGGGTGGGAAATTTAAGAACCCCTACCTTGACTTTATTAAATAACGAAAGCCTGTCACGCTTATCGAATTTTTCAAGATTTACGAACATATCTGGTTCAAAGCTCTTCAAGATGTCGCCAATATCCTTTGTTCTTTCTTCAAGTTTGTCGTCAAAATTACTCAGTTTCATATCCATATTCGATCTCAAATAAGAAGTATTCAATGGAGCATAGTCGTAGGTGGTGCGCATGACATCCTCACGCACGTCGAAGGCCACGCTCGCAGCCGACCATGCGACCAGCGCGAGAAAAACAAGCAGCATCATCGTGAGTTATGCTTGACGTCAGTGACAGTGGTCTGGCAGGCAAAAAATGTAAAGTGGGGAGCTGTATGTGACCTCGATTGGCTGCCGGAACGTTGGATTGTTAAAAGGCCAGACATCCATAACCCGCCTGGCTATTCTGCATTAAGGGTATTATCCCTTATCGCCCTTTCTAGCTGTACCATGGAAGTATCTCAAGGGATGGAGCACATCGCGAACCGCATCCTTATCGTCAATACGTAGGACATAAAACATGTCGAGAATAATTAGCACGCGCTAAGGCAGCTAAAAAGACGACGTCGTCAGTCACCGCGTTTCGGTGTGTAAAAGTCTGCGGACGGCGACGTACGTGTAAGCGAGAGTTGTGATCGTTGTAGCTCTGCACGGAATGCTAAACGGAGGGCTGGAAGAAACGCTGGCTGCACGACAGACCTTTTCTTTCTTCCCGTAGCTCTCGTGATTTGGAGGTCCATATATGGGATTTGAACCATACGTTTCGTAAAGCCTACCAACTTGAGCTTTTGAGTCCTATGATACGTCCAGTGTAGAACAGACGACTGCAGGTAGTTGAAGTAGCACCGATACCTTGCCTAAAAATTTGTCATGCATATAGCATGCCTAAACTGTGGCTGTGGCTTTCTTTTTGCGCCTGTACTATCCATAATCACACATAGGCAGGGAGCTACAATTGACCTGCTGATCTATACAAAACGGCTCTCATCAGCTCGAACATCGAAACGTCAAGGAAATAGAAGTAGATTTACTCGGACGTCCTGCTCACAGTAGCTTGATACGTTAATAAGATCATTCAAATTCCTACAATGCGCTTTGTCAATAAGTGCACCATCACATGCGCCACAGTTTGGCACCTAAGACCAGCATGATCTCCTTGAAACCACGCTATCGACATCACCGCATTGCTCTGGTAATATCCATAAAGAGATGTAAAAAGTGAGACAAGTAACTTACCAAGAGCTCGGGGCTGGCACCACATCTTGTCCTTGGCTTAGCCCCGCGACATGTTAGATGTTTAGCGATGGGACAATTAGATGCAGATAATTGTGCAAATCTATAGACGATGCTGCAGACACAGCTGCTAGAATTGCACAGGTCATGTACTTGTTTATCGCTATGTAAATGCATTGTAGCTGCCAGGAGGTAGGACAACAACATGACGATACGCTTAGGATTGAATCTGCTTTTAAGTAGAGCATTTGTAGAGTAATACAGAGAGTAAATGGCCGACATGACGTTGTGTAGAGCATCTCTTCGCACGGACTCTGTGACCAGGCAGACACTCGTAAACAGCACTATTGCATGCACAGTATTGACAGGCGCTCCAGCCTCTGCGGTTCCCCGTCTCACTACGTGAAGGCTGTTATAGTTAAACCAAACGTGCCGGTGTTAAGGTAAGACCCACTACGCCTGTAAAGTTATGATAGAGATCGCAGCCCGGAATACTACTTGGCTCATGAGAGTACTGATCTCGGCAAACTTTGAAGAAGATTACAATGTTGAGAACACGGTCATTGCCCGCGCAGAATGTGTACAGATACGATCTACTACGTTACAATCGGGTGGTGTTTATTTGAAACCTTTGTGCTACTTGACGGACGAGCGCGTAAATGGGGCGCTCGACACTTGGCCAGCGTATCACTTCGAAGCTGTGCATATTATTCGCCCCATCTCGAAGGAACGCAAGGCCATAATCGTGCTTAATTTGGCACATGAGGCGCAGGCTATCGATAGGTGGCGATTATCTCTACAAGCAGTTCCCCCGGTAAGAAGTTATGGCTCATGTGTGGCTTCTCAGCTGACAAGCCATTTTGTCAAGGTTCTGGATAGGATGATGGCCGTGGTCTCTTGGACGAGAGTGATGACAAGCTGCAGGAGCGCATCCACTTGGTAAAGGCAAATTATTCCCGTGGTGCCTCGCTGGAAGAGATCAGTCTAGCGCTGGTCAATGCAGCGTCGAGGGCAAAAAGAAGGATACTCTTTTAAACATCAAGGAGGGCGGGAACACCGTCCTGACCGCGTCACGGGCATCTACAGACGACGAGGTAGTCGTGGTATGCGGCATCGTGTCCTCATGGCGGAGGCGGATATGGTGACGGGTACGCGCATGAAAGAGCGTTTTCCTGCGCATATTTTGTGCTGGAATTGAGAACCATAATTCGACTGGAGAAGGTAACCGGGCCTGCATGGTCCATACCCTTCCACTCCTCAGTAAGCTCAAGCCGATGACGCAGCCCAAAAGCGACAGCTCTTTATGCAGGCGACGCTAACGTCAGTAGAAGGATACATGGCTGCCTTTCATCCGACTTATGATGCGTACCCTAGTGGTGATTTTTCAACAATTACAAGAAGTTTGGGCTCAAATCACTCGAAAAAGTCGGATGGTACTTCTGCCACAGTAGTTTTCTGCTAAATTCGCTATATGAGCGTCTCCAGGTATCAAACAAGTGACACTTTTCAGAGATAAAGTTATCAAACGCATTGGCGACTTTATATCGGTCGCGGCATTTTCCCATTTGCAAATGCAGCAGAGTCTACTTGAGCATCACAAACCTCAGCTAAGTGAGCTTGTGAGCTCGTGGTCTCGATCCAGAAACATAATTTCGTCGCATTGAGTCAAATTCCCTTCCATGAGCGTCATAGCATGTATAACAATGGTCTCCTGCCTCCGCAACGCAGATTTGGTGTACTTGGTCTAGCTTGTTTTCGGTAAATACAGCAAATGAAGCAAAGCTTTCTCGCTCATATTCGTACGACCTGATCCACTTGCATAGTCTCACCTGACGCCAGCTGAGCATTAAAACGTTACAGCTCAATCACCTCGCCATCTGAATCGTCGGGACTGGCAATTTCGATTTCCTGCACGGGGAGTAGTGCCGTGTTAATATCGCGGCGTCGTGGCGACAGAAGGAAAGCTCTGCTAGTACGGGTGACGATCATAATGCGGTGGCTTGCTTTCCAGAGGATGACGTCGCACAAACGATCTTTTTCCGTCACAATACTTTATCATCCAGACACAACGTTGCAAAGTTCCAAGCATTGGGAGCTGCGTGAAGACAAGTGTCCACCTTAGATCGCAAGTCCATGCTATTCGTGCCTTCATTTTTTCTTGCGCCACACTTTCAAAAAAACTTCACTAGATCCCAACCACTTCATGATATGTTGAGCTGGTCAGTCTCAAACCTTTTCATGCCACTGTGTATGAACGCGGACTGAAACCTGACATATGCAGATACGCCACACAACTTGGCAGCACTGCCACTTTTTCTCCTTGTCACCGCAGGGAGAGGTGTTTCACGAAGCCGTCCGAATTAACATCATGCATGCCCTCCTCAGGGCGCAAATGAACTTGTTATAAATAACTGATAGCTCAACTGCTCCGCCGTCACTTACATCTGCTGAAGCAAAGAGGCATAAGTGTCGTTCACAACATGCTCTAGCAATCGCCGATGCTCTTGAGGCCTTCCTTCCGTATCTGATGCTACCAGCCGGCCGCCATCCCTTCCCTTGTTGCAGCTCAATCCACTTTGCTGCTGTCTCTGTAATTTGAGCAAGAAATGCACGAGTTCTGCGCTGAGGTCGGCGTTCTGTGAGCATGCGTCCACAATCCAGGGCAGCACTTCGCCCAAGAAGTTCACGTATCCGGCACAACTCTCGCCTGAGTTTCCAACACCATTGCGCAGCTTGTTCCACACTACACGAAGCACCTGTTGCATCGCAGTACTCTGTTGATTGTCGGAAAGATGCGCAGCACACAATGAGAGAACGACACGTAGCCGGAAACGCCATTTAGCCAGATCCCTTTCCGATCCATCTGCTACGAATTCCATCAGCGGCTTCGTTGCTGGTGCAGTTGAGCGCAAGGAAGAACCTGAGGAGGAAACAGTTGATGCCATCCAATAATCCCACAGCTGCTTCATAGCTGGCACATTGGCAACCAATGTCGAAACCAGTGTAGCGTCATATCCCTGTGTGTGAATAGCCAGCAGCAATCGCGGGGGAGACGACACCTCACCATCTGCAGCCAACAGCTCGTTCACGATTGTGCATAGTAGAGCGCACCTCTCTTCGGCTACTACTTCGTCGCTTGACTCTGAGCTGAGCGCAAGAAGCCGCTTTAGAAAACAGTGTACCAATAAGCAGTCCTGAAGGAGCTGATGCTGCTGAACGCTGGCTGTGGTAGATGTAGTACCAGTCATTCCTTCAACTGGCACTAAGCTTGGGTCGCGCTTGAATACGTAAGCATTAGCTGCGGCACGTACGTCACGAACGAGCCCATGGAGAATTCGCAACAACGCTGGTTGACGGAATACACCATCGTGAGCATCTTCCACAAGACGGAACGGTTCCTCCAGAATTTGCTTATATGTCAGCAGTTGAAATGCCTCTCCTTGGTGCGTCGGTACCTGTTGATGACGCCAAAGGGCATCCGGGAAACACAGCGAATGCACCAATCGCATCACTAGATGTATACTTGCTCCTTGTTCACGACGAGCACGTGTCTCGTAAAGTGCAGCAAGTTGTGAGCAGAATGCTGCTGCTTGTCGACATAATGATGATGATGCTTGCGACGACACAACAACGAACGGTAAGAAACCGTCTACCAGCACGAGTAGCTCGCGCATCACCACGTCAATAGGCGCCGACTGTAGCTCAATCATAAGCGTATGAGCTGCTGTCCACGAAACTGGGGACTGAACAACGCGAACACCCAGCACGTCGCCACATTTACGGCGGCGACGAAACCAGCTATTTCTCAGATCGCGTTCCGCAGAATCGAGAGGACTACTCGCGAGTGGCAATAACTGCAACGTCGAACACGGTGGTACTGACGCCATGAGAGCGTCAAATAGCTGCGGATGTTCCTCCAGCATGAGCTTCTGAAGCGTAGGAGCGACGTACTCGAAGATGCCACCCTTGTCTCCGTGTGCAAGGACCTGGGTTGCAATGTTACGCAACGGGAACGCACTTAGGTCATAATTAACGCATAAATCAGCTCCCAGTCCCAATGGAGCTGATATCGAGGAAACAGAAGACACCGACGAAGTGGAGACCAGACTGCTCAGTTTGCTGCCAGCCACCATCGTCGCGTAGCGTAGTCGCTGGTTGAACTGTAGCGCGTAAGTGAGTCCCAATACTCCGCGTGCCCACACTAGTTCATGCTCTTGTCCACCACTGCATTCGAAGGCACGTGTTAGGAGCGGAGACGCAAGCCATTTTGTCAGAGTGGTAGTCCGTAGCGGGATAATCGAAAGCTGAAGCCGACGAGGAGTTTGGGAGATAGGGTACTCGAATGCCATAACATAGTTTTCGACCCATTCAAGCAAAAGGCTGACGAGAAGGGGGTGAACAGGCAACGCTGCCTGCTCGTCGATCTGAGTAGCCAACCAATTTTCGAGCCGATGTGCGTGATGATGCCGTAAAAATGACTTCTCGCACAGCAGTCCGTGAAATCCAGAAAGTGTCAACTCGCTGGACGAAGCTGCATCTAACGCAGAGACACGGACCACTGGCGGGAACGTCAGCACCTCGCGGGCTAGCAAGCTTTCAGTTAAAACCGGCTTCAGCACTACATCACCAAACACATGGAGATACTCCGCTCGCAGTGTTTGCTGCACCTGAATGCCACTTCCTGCTGTCAAAGTCGAGGAAGCGGTGCACGTATCTGTGTCAAATCCGATCACCGACGCGAGAAAAGGCACAAGGGCAGGTACCTTTGTGTAGAACAGTACCGCCGACACTACAAAAAGCGGTCCTGTGCCAGCTTCTTGAGCATGAAACAGTGAAACTAGCACTTGCTGCGATAGAGTAACAGCGTTCTTAATGTGCTCGTCGCGCTGACCTGGTGCCTTACTCAACGCTGAAGTGAGAGGATACCACAGCAGCACTACCACGACAAATGCGAGGCTTATTGCGCGCGAAGAAGACGACGAAGTTGCAAGCTTGTCAAGGCTCTGCAAAATTCGAATCCGCTCCGATTCATTTAGCATGAAACTGCCGAGCACATGAAGTCCCACACACACGCCCAGCGCTGCCGTCATTTCATACGGCGACACGCTTGAGTTACTGCCATCGAGTGTATCCAAGACTCCACTACAAATTTTCTTCACATTGGCAGCTGCATTGTGCTGAAACTCACTCTTTCCTACAGCAGCCTCTCGACTTGCAAGCTGCACATAGGTCCGCAAAGCCGACCCTGGTGCACCGTGTCTTTTTAGCCACTGGTACATGAACACAGTCCCATCTTCTCGACTTGTACACGTCGTCAATAACTCAAAAGTCATCGCTGCACAATGCAGCGACGTAATCTGCTGACTAAGTTTTTCTCTTAGTCTGGCCGCATATAGCGGCGTCAGTTTAGCCAGTTTCACACAAGTTTGACGTGCATTCTCCAGCACCAAGGTCCTTGTATTGACTGCCTCCTTCTCTTGCTGCACCATGTTCTTATTCTCTGTGGTCGTCTCTACTACGACCGCCACGACGGCAGTTAAAAGTTGCTCAACACTAGAAGGATCGTTAACTGCCAGTCTAGAAAGCAGGACGGGGCCTATGGGCACCGCTAGAGCCTTGCAAACCACTGAATGAATGCTCATTGGATTCTCAATTGTTTTCTGCAGTGTTTGGAGCTTGGAACTGGCTAAAGTCTGTACTAAAATGACTGCTATTTCTTCTTGGTAGATCTCACTGAAAAAGAGCTCACTGGACTCTAAACTTCCAGGAGCTGCAAGGAGCCATTCACACAGCACGATCATCACTCTGTCAGCTACTGATCCATTCTCAAAACGACGGAATGCAGGTCCTGAGTCACAAATTACAGCCGATTGAAGCTTGGATGGGGTCAAATTGACAAAAAATTGAGCGTATTGACGCCATTTCGACGCCTTTTCGACACGTAGAAGTGTAGTGTCCAAAGCCGTTGACTTGATAATTGTATGAGATGTAGCAGACACACGTCGCGAGCTCTGGAGACGTGTAAGAAGCGGTAGAAAAGGGGTCAAGAGAGTGTCAAGAGCTTCATTTGAATCGATCGTAGCGACGTCACAAAGGAAAGTTGAGAGATCTCCATCGGCAAAGTCGGAGAGAAGATGCGAAGGAATGGATTCTGCTGTAGAGGGAGAAGAGAAGAGTTGAGTGGGCGTGGGGATGGGGATGGCCATCACTACGTCACCGTCTGGCTCGCATGGCATTTTGCTGCTCATGAGTTGAGGTTAACTATATGTGTGTAACACACAAATTATATATTTTTTGTTGCTTTTTTTAAAAAAAATTATGATTAAAGGTCAATTATTATTAGTATAAACGATTATTATTCGTATAAATGACAGTAAATACTTGACTCGTTCTATCACACTGTATCAATTATCAGATGCTTATGGACGGATGCATAGACAAAATATTGTGAATCCAAACCTTTGTAACTTGTAAATTATTGCATTTACGACCACAGTGTGCACGCATAAGTAACAAATACAGGCATCTGTTGTTATCAGGTTTAACTGATTCTGTAGTTAATGGTCAGCACATGAAGAACCTCAAACTTGAAAAAGTTGCGCAGACGAATTGGCTTCGAATGGACACAAATTCACTCGGAACCCATCAGTATCGACAACATCTCGTACGGTCTCGTACATCTCCCGAGTAAGCAAATGATTGAAAAGCCGCTATGATGGCCAATGCGCACAACTTCATCACGCCGTTTACGGACGGCTACAACACACAGATGGGCATGAACGTGCCCATCTAAAAAATTTCCAGCAATTTGTTGCTGAACGAAGCCACGAGCTCGCTGGACTTGATGAGCGAGAAGATAGTGCAGAAGATGCGGCACAAGGTGGTGGCGTTTAAAGCGGCCATCGACGATTGTAATTGCTCATCGACTGTCGACAAATCAACGTGCTAAAAAATCTGCATCGCAGATGGTCTCAATATTGCAAAGCGGGCACACGCTGCAGTTAAATGGCAATTACCAACTTGATGAAGTCAGCAACTGCTTGATTGGCAACTTGACAGAAACTCCTGTCATTAAATCTTATGCGTAGTGGCGCTGATCAAAGCTTCGGGGTTCTCCTCGCAGAAGACAGTGTAAATGCGCTTCGAGAGAGCTCGCTGAATTCGAGCATCATGCAATTTGTCAGCGACAAGATCCTGTTTCTGTGTACGCGACAAATTTGGGTCACGATACGCTTGCATGAGGCTGTCGAATGTGGGGAAATGGTCAAGAAGACATTGCGCTTTCTCCTCACTCACACCTGGAATTACTTGGAGCATTCGTAGCCAAGCATTCGCACACGCACTTGCCGTGGCCCCTGTGTGGGTTACTCGAAATGAGTTATACCGAGGTACGGCCTCCAGGGATTCCTCAAGGGCAGATGCACGCGATGATGCAACCACCAACTCACGAGTAAGCAAAGCAATGTAGTTTGCCGTAGCATCAAGGTCAGACGTGAACTTTGTATGTACGCCTACATCCATGAACAACTGAAATGCCACCTCATGTAGGTCCGCGAAAGTGGTCATGGGAAAAGTGGTTCTTGAAGTTTTATCCAAGGTAGATCCTTTCTTTTGCGTTTGTCGCTTTTTTAGTTCAATCAGCGCATGGTCCATGCCTTCCACAATGATAAAGAACTTGCTAGACTCTTCATCGAATCGACGAGGTATCTCAACCCCAAGTTCCGTCTTCGGTATCAATGTTTTAAGGTACTGTACGGCACCAATCAATTCCATATAGCTCTTCATCTGAAGCAATTTAAGATATACACCCGCTTCGTAGTATATTGCACATGAATAATAAGAAGTACCACTTCCTCGTCGTTCCCATCGAAGTACTCCTGGCAGTATGCAATTCAGTGCAGTGGCCACTGTAAAAGGCACTGGTTTACCATTATACACATGACTTTTTAACGCGTCTCGAATTGTTTCTCCTGCTACCGACGTATCTAACGATTTTTCCATCTGCACGACCGCAATCACATCAGCCGCACCTCTACCTTTACCACCTGCTGCCCTATAAGACAGAGCTCCTGTTGTTGAGTCAGCAGGAGCCTTAAACGAATCAGCAGCAGCAGTAGTAGTGGTAGTAGTAGTAATATCCGTAGAAGTAGTAGTAGTACTTGTCGTCTCGGTCGTCTTTCTTAATGTTTCAAAATGTAAATCTTCGAGCTTTCCTGACAGTCTCCTCGCTTGTTTTTCTTCGCTTTGTATTCTCTCATCTTCGAAAATTTGTCGTCGCGTAGTTGATGGCAAATTTGGCGACACTTTTTTTGGAGAAGAAGAAACAAGTGAATGTTCTGTATCAGATGAAAGAAAATATACAAAAGGAGGTGGACACTCGGATGGCGAGTACGAGAATGAAATTTCGTCCTGCTGTTGTTCGTCTTCTACTTCAATTGTTTCTTGTACTGGAGCACACATTGTGCTATTTGGTAGAGAGTTCGATCGACATAATGACGAGGGCGACGTGGTCAGGTCTACAACAGAAGGATTAATATTCTGCTTTCGTTTTTTAGCTGGAGGGGAATTTCGAGGAGGTGTTATGAGCTCAATTACTTCAATCGAGACGTTTTTCTTCGTGTGATTGGTAGTCGGGATACCCAACTCTATTAGCATTGCATCCAATGCATGATCGTCTTCGTCTTCTTCGATGGAATCGCGAGAGTGAGAGCATTTCTTAGCTACGGTGTTCATTATTCTTATAATTATAAAAATGACATTATCAAGTGAATTTGTGAGTAACATACAGATATCTATATTTTTATAAGCAAAAGTCACTTTGGCAGGTCTCCCTCCGACAAGTTATAAACGGACATTTCCATAACTGGACAGAGGTTTACCTTATCGGTTTGGAGCCTAGCACCTACAATGATATTCTTGACAGAGGTTTTTCATTAGGTTTATCACTAGGATTTCTACGAGGCTCGTTACGTATACAAAATCAACTTGCTTGTGAGCGGTGGCTACATGGCGTACACCAGTACAACTTCGTGTCAAAGCTCCAACAAAGCGCTGCTATCTGCTTGTCTTTTATATTTCTGCTGCAGCTAGAACTTGCCGCCTGTAAACACGTTGATTGCGTACGAGAACGCAGCAAAACCTGCACAGCCAAGACATTGCGCTTGAAATCCCTGACCTGCTGCCAGTGCTGCACCCGTCGCACAACCCGCCACCAACTCGTTGCCCACGTCGTGGCGTCCGCGAATCTTCTCAGACGCGCACTCCAATCCCGAAAACATGGCTACACCGAACAAAAACATCAATGATCCAATACATTAAGACTCATTGCAATTATGCATACCCAGTCTCATCAGGTGTACAATTTACCTGAAATGACAAGAAAGTTGTTGCCCCAGTAGCGGCATTTGCCCGCTGTAACTCGCCAAGATCCCGCCATCTGCTCAAATTAGTCATTAACTTCATAGCTCTTACAAAAACGTCATACATTAATCAACGTACTGACTCGCGCCATGGTACTTTTGGTAATTCTCTCTGTCCCGGAAGTGGTATCGGTGGCGTGATTCCTTCGTAGCTGCCCAGTACCAATCCAAATGCATTGCCCATAATGTACCCTATATCATCAATACACAACAAATTTTGAAATTCAATATGTAATATTTACTTTTATTGTAATATTTGTATGAAAGACACCTACCCATAGACGCGGAAATAAAGAATTTACCCATGCACGACTCGGTGATGGGGTTGGGCTGTTGCCATTGTAGAATTTGTGGAGGATACGCGGGTAGAAACGGGTGAACGCCTACTGTGTTATACAGCAGATGCATATTAAGAAAACTGCGAGGAAACAAGAAAGGATTCGGCGGTTTCTCTTTGCTCAAGTCCTCAACGTGCACGCCCAACTGGGCATTGGCATCATTAGCACTTGACGCCATTAAAACACAAAATGGTCAAAATCTGTGCACTGATTGGTCCATTCCGAGACCCACTCATCTGTAGCTGACATTTATAGCCAATCATCTGTTGTATTGTTTATTTTTTTAGTTTTAGCCAGTTAAAAATGTGATAGCGAGGACACAGAGAATAGTATCAGTCTATAAGAAGGTGAGAAAATGATGCCACTGTCGACTCCTTTGGCGAGTTTACCGCCCGACCACAGTGATTTTAATGCTTACGAGACATTGGAGACCAACTCTGACGCTTACGGGACATTTAATGGACGCGTAATGCCCGATACTGATGAGAAATCCCACGTTTTCATCAGATTCTGGCGCTCACTGGGCTTTGCAGCGCTTTTGGTTGTGTTAACAAGCTACATGCTTTTCCAGAGCTACAATGATCCAGTTAATGGTAAAGTACTAGACGTTACAAGGTTGAAGAGTCCTCAAGTGGTATCTGGAGTGGCCCACAAGAGTACAAACGACGTGGTAGATCATATGACGACGCTCAGTCAGACGAATGAGAGTGATGGATTTTCCAAGTTTGAAAGAACGTTCTTAAAAAATGTCAATACGATGAAAATTCGGAAATTTCATGGCACTTATGCCAGTGTGCCTCATCCAGCAGGTAGTTCTCAGGACTATCAGACGGCGTTATTTACTGCAAAGCAATTGGAGTCATTTGGAATCAAAACAGAGATTATGGAGTATTATCCGCTGCTTTCTTTGCCGATTCACCGCCATTTGAGTATTCTGTCGCCGTCTACAGCGGTGAGGACGTTGAATTTGACGGAAGCTTCTATTCCCGGGGACGCATGCACGAGCAATAAAGATGCACTGCCTCCGTATCTTGGATACTCTGACTCGGGCAATGTCACGGCATCTGTAGTGTATGTGAATTATGCCAGACCTGTGGACTTTCAGTGGTTGAAAGACAATAATGTGACGTTGGAGGGCAAGATTGCGTTGGTGCGGTATGGAAGCAACTTTCGTGGATTAAAGGTGATGCTGGCGGAGCAACATCGGATGGCTGGTGTTTTGATTTACTCGGATCCATTAGATGATGGGTACGCACAGGGGCCGGTGTATCCGGAAGGTCCGTGGCGACCGGAGGGATCGTTCCAACGTGGATCGTTGCAATACAACTCCATTTATGGTGGCGACCCACTTACCCCAGGCTACCCATCTCTACCTGGCGAGCCTTACTTGAGCAAGAAAGAGTGTAAAACGATTCCACATATTCCGGCGCTTCCTCTTTCGTACGGTCAGGCTCGGTATATTCTCGAGTCGCTGGGTGGTAAGAAGGTGCCTGAGACTTGGCAAGGCGCTCTCAAACTTGATAATGGCGCTTACTTTGTGGGTGATGATGAAGCTACGGTCCTAAATATGGATGTGGCAATGGACAATAGTATTGGACCTATCTGGGACGTCATCGGTACTATTGAAGGCACAAAGGAGCCCGACCAGATGGTTCTGATTGGCAATCATCGCGATGCGTGGGTATGCGGAGCTGTGGACCCATCTAGTGGGTCAGCTGTCATGCTGGAGATAGCTCGTGGGCTGGGTGACTTGCTGAAAGATGGCTGGAAGCCCCGTCGCACCCTTGTCATCGCTTCTTGGGATGGCGAGGAATTGGGCTTGCTTGGTAGCACCGAGTTTGCAGAGGACCATGCTGAGCTGTTGAAGAAGCAGGGTGTAGCGTATATCAATGTAGACAATGTGGTTGGCCCCTTCGTGAGCTCAGGAGGTACACCATCGATAGCAAAGTTCCTGCAGGAAACAGCCCAGCTCATTCCAGGCAACCCATTTTATGGCGTTGATGTGCAAGATAGCTTGTACGAGCAATGGGTGAGCCAGACTGCTATTCGACGGTCAAGCCTTGCAGCTGGCGCCGATGATGGCACTCTAGCTCCGGACCACCTCATTCAGTTTTTAGGCTCCGGCACAGATTTTACGGCCTTCTATCAGCACCTCGGTATTATCTCGGCCAATCTGGGCTACACTGTCGGTAGTGCGATGTATGGCACGTATCACAGCACCATGGACAGCATTTCGTACGTGGAAACTGTGGGTGACCCACACTACGCAACGCAGACTACGATGGCGAAGTGGTGGGGGCTCATTACGCTACGCTTGGTGGACAACGTTATCGTACCGTTCGATTTTTCTACTTACGGGCTTGTAATGCAAGAAGGCCTTGCCGGCTACGAGAATATAACGGCAGCTATGGGACGCACTATTGACTACTCTGCACTTCACGAAGCGATTGAAACGTTCAGCAGCAATGCTAAGGTCTTTCAAGCGCATGTTAGTGAGTGTACCCAGAAGGATACCATGAAGCAAGAGAGCTGCAAGTCGGAGGCGGAACGTCACTTCTGGAATGAAAAACTTGTGAGTCTCGAGCGCTTTCTGATCTCGGACACTGGTCTTCCTCACCGACCGTGGTTCAAGCACATGATCTTTGGGCCGGGCTTCTACGAGGGCTACAAGGGAGTTGCATTCCCGGGAATCTCGGACAGCATCGTGTTCGAGGATGATAACGCTGCAATTCAAGCCCATGTGAACGATGTCACCGCAGTCATCAATATAGCGGCGGCGTATCTTACATTCGCGTAGCCAAAATCGAGCACGCAAATTGGAAAATCGTGATGATGTATGAGTGCAAGAGCGTGAATCAAGAGAGTAACTGAATGAAAGCAGAAACGAGATAGCTTGGTATAGATGTTGGATAGTACAAGTACGATTGAGTGTGCTGTAGTCCAGCTTCAAATCGCTTTAACGGCTTCAACTTGCGCTAGTTCCTGTCCCAACACACGAAGACAAAAAATTTGGGCATTATCCATTTGCTACGAAGCTAACAGAGTGGTAACCAAGTTTGGTCAATTTGCAATGGTGTCTGAGAGTGTTAAGGTGTATGTGGCGTGCACTTCGGTGCTCTATCTCAAGTTCTTAATGGCCACTTTGATCCAAGGCATGAAAAAGTATTCCGTTGGTGGACGTCCTCCTGAAGATATGAAGATCTCGACAGCTAAAGTCAAGCAAACCTTTGGCTTTGACAAGACTAAAGACGTCAAGACCCTCGAGTCTTCCAAGCGCTGGGGAGGTATTGTTATGAACGATCTCGAGTCCATTCCTTTTGGTCTCTTAATCTTTGGTGCAGGCATTATGGTTGGAGCTAATTCTATCATTCATTATCGTGCAATGATCGCGTTTACGACCGTGCGTTGTTTACATACGTATGCTTATGCGAATGCGATGCAGCCAATGCGTGGGTTGTGTTATGGCGTGGGGGTGATGGCTACACTGATTGGGCTGGGCAATGCTCTTAGCGCAATTTTCTAAGTTTGGTGATATTTGGCTTGACAGCCTTTTCCACCGGTATGAAAAGGTTTACAATGGTGATTAAGACAATAGTCAAATATGAAACGGTATTTGAAGAAGATTATAAACATTTTCTGAGTTTTGTTCTGAATGGTCTAATTAAAGCAATTGTGGCTCCCATAAATGTAGCTCGGTTTTCACAATCCTCAGTCAGAAATTTTTCAGAAACTTTTTGACTATAAACCCCTTCGCATCCAAAATCGGGCCTAAAATGACGAAAAGAAACCATGTGGCTATGTACTATCATGACAATGGTAAAATCGAGCTGAACACGAGGTGCTAAAGATTAGCGTATAAATTTTTCTTAAAACTCAATTAAATCTTAAAAAAAGAAACCGTTTATAATCTTGCCTTATAATATTTTACGTGTCATCCATTAAATAGTTCGGTATATTAAGATTATAATTATATCTGGTGTAGGGTACTTAGGATAGAATTTATTCTCAGATCACAAAGCTAGATAAAGTTTAGTTCACATTTTGAGAAAGACTTGTTGATTAATGAAGTGGATGTTGTTTAAGAAGTAAATGATAAAAGTCAAAAGGTGAGTATATTATGCATGCACAGATAGCTCTTTCTTACTCCTAGAGCTTACCTGTCCTGTGCCCCATGTGCTTCGCACGGTCGTTTTCTCAAATATTTCTTGATTGACACATATTCACCGCGCCGGAAACTCACATGGGGTTAAAAGTTATCACCTATCACAGGTTGTCAAGCGTTCAAGCGTCCACGTTAAGACCTGTTACAGGAAAGGCTCAACATAACCTGATTGTTTGTAATTTTGACAACGTGACATTTAGGACGAAGAGAGACGGACGCCACATGAGACAACCAAGATGTCATGGGGATGGGACCGGTAGAGACGGTCGGCATGTGGGACCAGCATGTGAGACGTGCGGACTGGACGCACGCCATCTGCAGCTTGACCTGGTCAAGTTGCACTGCAGGAAGATCACATGGTGGATGGAGTAAAAGAAAGAAGTCATCACTCAATATATTTCACTTTTTTACTATCTGCTACATTTGCACGAGTTCAACTACGAGCACAGCTTTCTAACAGGTAATGAGCCCAAAGCTACGTGTTGACGGCGCAGCCCAAGAGGGCAAACCCGCTGTGGCAGTTGATGGTCATGTTACGACCGAAGACAACTAACGGAAAGGTAAGTCATGTTTCATTGTTACACGACAGTAAGACATTAGACATTAGAAACTTTGGTGAAGCCGTGTGAAAACAACGTTGTTCGAGAGCTATCCCCAAAGAACTACACTGAGGCTCTACAAAGTGACAGCAAGGACAAGTGGTCTGTGGTAATTAAGGACGAACTGAAGGCACTGCAACAAAACGGTGTGTGGAAGGTCGTTGTTCGGCCGGAACACGCGCACATACTGCACAACAAGTGGGTCTTCAAGGCAAAGACCGATGCCGATGGGAAGGTCGAACGATACAAGGCCAGACTTGTCGCTTGCGGCAACGAACAATTGCTTGGAGTCGACTACACTCTGACTTTTGATGCAGTCATGGAACTCGGTACTGACAAGATTATTTTAATTTTCTCGCGCAGATGGAATGTGCCAACACGACACGGCGATATGCCAAATGCATACGTAAAAGTCGATCTCGAAGAGAACCTCGACATCTTTATGAAGATACCAAGTAGAATTCAAATTGCTCAAGATACGTTGAACTTTCATGATGTTGCCGGAAAAAGACAGCTGGCGTTGTTGCTTAAGAAATCCCTGTTTAGATTGAAGCAAGCCGGAAAATTATGGAGCAAGCTTTTACACACCAATTTGACCGGTTTGACATTAGACAGTGCACGACGGACATGCGCCTATACGTCAATCGAACAGACACAAGTTTAACGGCTGTCGGTCTCTACGTCGACGATTTGCTGGTGAATGGAACGTCAAGTGTTGTGGTTGGACAGTGTTTCAAGGACCTGAGGTCCCTCGAGATTAAGGACCTCAGGATTTTGAACAAGTTTCTAGGACTATGAGTCAAATTGGATAACAGCGAAGGTTACATCCTAAAACAAGAAGTTACCATCGACTTACTGTTGAAGGAACATGGACTGGCTACGGCCTATGGTGTAAGATCGTCAATTAGGGATGAATGCAATGAAGGCGATGAGCAAGGGTCGAAATTGTTGATGTCGACCTTCAAGGCCGAAGTCGTGAGTGTCAAGGCCTTTTAATCACTCGTTCGGATTTTCTCTGGACTGCGCGTTGCATTCATCTGGATATCTCTTTCGCAGTGCATCGTGCAAGACGTTGAAGCTATGCATCAACAGCACAAGTACATCAAACTAAAGCCATCAAGCTTAAGAGCTGGAGCGATGCGAATTTTGCCGCGGACAAGTCTGACCGAAAGTCTGTTTCGGGATCCGTACTCACCATGGACGGTGCTATGGTGTCTTGAGTTTGCAAAAAGCAGAATGGTATACCTCTAAAGCACAATGGAAGCAGATTTTATTGCTGCGTCGCACGCAGGTCGCGACCTACTGGGTTTGAAGGAGCTGCTTAGTGAGCGGTGCATTAAAGGTAATCAAATCAATGCCGATGTGGATGGATAATTAAGAGGCGATCAACCTGATGAAGAGCGGGAAGAGTTCGTCAAGTGCGAAACATGTTGACATTCGTCTCAAGTGTATCTGCCACTCCGGCCAAGCTCATATTGTGCAGCCAAGTTTTGTCAAGTCGGGAGACATGATCGCAGATCTGTTGACGAAGGCGCTACCGGCGCCCAGGATTTTGACGTTGCGAAAGCTATTTAAGCTGAAGATCATTCAATATGACGTCTACGTGACAGTTGGAACGAAGAGAGACGGACGCCACATGGGACAACCAAGATGTCATGGGGATGGAACCGGGAGAGACGAACGACATGTGGGACCAGCATATGAGACGTGTGGACTGGGGACGCACGCCATCTGCAACTTGACCTGGTCAAGTTACACTGCAGGAAGATCTCATGGTGTATGGAGTAAACGAAAGAAGTCAACACTCTATATATTTCACTTTTCTACTTTCTGCTACCTTTGCACGAGTGCAACGACGAACACAACGTTTTAACACATGGTAGGTGTAACTAATGTACCGTTTCATAATCGTCGGCTTGTGGAGTCGCGAGAAGGGTTGGAATGGCTACACCTTCCGACAATGCTTGTATTCTTGGTTTGACTGGAACAACCTAATAGCATTTATAGTTTTTTGGGGTATTCAGCTTATAGCGTGTTGACTCTAGAGTCTTTCTCTAATTCCTTAGAAGTGGTAGACTTCTCTAGTCATTATATTAAGCTTCGTAGAACTAAGTGGTTTTTAGCCGCTAGTCTTTTTCTAACTTAAGAGCTGTGTATCTCCGCCGCACAATTCCTCATCCTGCGGGCACGGTTTCGTCTTCTGCATTCAGTGATCACAGCATCGACCTGGTCGCCACAGATCGCACTTTGCCAAAAGTCGTCCATCCAGATCGCGCTTATAAACTACATGATCGAGATATTCTGTGGAACCACTTACATTTTCCTGTCTAGATGTAACGGGTTATATACGCGTACCCTTTAGTACGTGGTACTTAACGGTAGGTACCAAGACGCAGGCCTCTCTATATACATAAATTACGGTTATTTACGAATTGGACGCCGTAATTAATATTTCTAACGAGCCGTATATACCCTGGTTTAGAAATGGCTAGAAACATAGCATTTTTAGAATTAAGAAACGATATGGGCGAGTGAGCGAGTCCGTAAGAAATTTGTGAGAAAAAAGTTACTGGAAAAAGAAACGGGGACCCAAAATTGACTCCCACAATCTAAAAAGACTCCCATCCTTCGCGACTAACAACTAAACCAAATATTGAGCCCTAGAACCCGCTAAACAGCCCGTGGGAAAATCTTATACACATGAAGAACAAGCGAGAGACTCCTTTATAAATGAACATGCTCTAAAATATGGTGTTCGAGTCTCTCAGAGGAGAACTAAAGACCGCACTGTTGTATTAGTGGAATGTCTTTTCTGTATTCGCTTCGGTCGCGATAGCAAGCAGGCGCAAAACGTGCAAGAACTACTAACACCAAGTATCACTCGGTCCCATTCCGAGCAGACAACTACACGCAGCACCTGAAACCACAGCACCCCGAAAGGTTGCAGGAGTACCTAGGCCTCTCTTAAATAGTCAAGAAGGGCTCCTTTGAGAATGTATATCCCATTAAGCACACCTTACATTCGCACTTTGGATCTCAGCAGATGCCGAGGCAGCATACGATTAGCGCGCCAATTGTCGACAAAGTTGTTGGAGAAGTGCTTTGGGATCCAGACGAAGTTAAAAGGTGAGATTCATACAAAGATGATGCAGCCGTTCGTTAACATTGCTGACGGGTTAGAGGACCTTAGATATGGAGAAGGTGTCGACCGCTACCGTATTGATATCAAGAATTCCCTGCAATTCGATCTTGCTGTTGGATATTTGGCAGCTGCATGCATGTTTCGTCAGAATTCTCGTATTTTGCTATCTACGAAGGAGTTAACAGGATTGTTTCATTCGGGTGTGTCAATGACGCAACTGTAGCCAAGTATGCTCAGTTTCCTGTTGCCATCAACTTACAGAGGATTGTGGTGAAGTGCTGTTTCTGTGATTTGGGGACCCCAGAATCCAGTTGGATTCGGAGTATAGACCGTGGGTCAGGGACAGGAGACCAGAGAGACAGGGGCCTCGAAGGGGAGCGACTGTTGGTGGAGAACAATTCGCAGGACCCACAGAAGAAAAATCAGAATCAGGGTACCGGTTAATTGGTACCGAAGGGAGTTGACCATGGCCCTTCATTGATCGACCTGGCCCCTCGTTGGTAGACCTGGGTCCCTCATCGGTAGACCTGGGTCACTCATTGGTCGACCCGGTCCCTCGCTTGTAGACTATGGTCCCTTATTGGTCGACCTGGTCCCTCATTGGTCGACCCAAGCCCTCGTTGGAAGACCTGGGTCCCTCGGCGATCGACTTCGGCCCTTCGGGGTTCAGCCACTCCGGACCAGTCAATACAAGGATCAGAATAGTCGACGCAAGGAATCAGAGCTTCAGGCAAGGATAGAGTAAAGGAGTTAAAAGGATAGGATTATATTAAATACTACTCAATTTGCGATCTACGCGGCACGACTCCGTCACCCAATAAGAACTTGCTCTAAGCTACCCACTGTTCCGGGAAGGGATATTTTTGGCCCCCCGTCGAAGACAGTTGTGTAGCGAAGTTCAAGTGCGAATAGAGCTCCAGGATATTTTTGGCCTGTGAGATCGTTCGAGTAGCAACACCCCCCCCCCCCAAGACCCACTATCGGAAGCGGCCTCCCTTACCTTACGGTCTGGGAGCAAAGTAAAGGTCAGGTGATTAATACCCCTGAAACAAGAAGGAAAAGGCCAGGGACGACAAGCGCCCTGAAGAATTTGGCTCTAGGTCTACTCTCGACAAGGTCGATCGAGTGGCCACCTACCGGCCCACCGAGTGAAGCATATCCACTCGAGGCCCCCAGGTCTACCTCCCGAAAGGCAGACGTCTACATCTTCATCAAGTCCTCCGAAGAGTGCAACCCACCACACAAGGTGAGAGAAGGTCCATACGCGGCATCGGGGTACCCCCTCCGACAGTCGGCAGTCCGGCACAGTGAGTGGTTTGGGGTCTCATCATACAATTTTGAGAACCCACTCCACCACAGGATTGCAGAGTTGTAAAAGCAGTCTTGGACGTTCTCTATTGCACTGGATATGTCGACATACATGAGCCCTTCGTATCTGGACATACTTCTCCGTTTATATATTATTCAGTATGATATTCTCAATATCCACTTTTTGGCGATTCCAGTGTACGAACGACACACTAGCGAGGTCATATTCTCGGCTGCTTGTGAAGCGCTCGACGCTATGCTGCCTCAATGGTGTGAAATCATTATTGGCACCTCTCCGCGCGAAAACAAAATGACAGGCCGATTCAGCGGTCGTGTCACCAGATTTCAAATGTTGAAAAGCCTGGTTTTATTTGAGTTTGGTGTGGCGCGCACTAGCTGGACATCGTATAACAAGACGTGTACGTCCATTTCGGTGATCGCAAATTTTATGGAGTATTTACCACTATCATTTCCTACCTTCGTCGACAGCAAAACCTGATCAGCGAGACGAAAAAGGCTTTCTCAAAAGTGGCTACCTCCCTTTGGCACTCAATGAGAAAGGCTAGTGGGTGGTTCAAGGCCAAACGTGTCCGTGTTCGTGCCTACTTGGCCGAAAGGAACCCGGCGTGCACGCCTTCCAACCGTTGGTGGATTTACATCATGATTGCTGAAGCCTTTGCATGCACGCGCGACGGTGACATTTAAGCAGCTCCAAGGACACTTTGTCACGGTTTCGATACAGCAAGAACATTTAAAGAGTTTGGTATTGCTCTACATCGAATGCGTCGGCGCCAAATGTCCATTCCTGGCGGATAGTGGGGAGGCGGTCACACTGGATTTTAATGAATGCATGTATCGACCTCCAAAAACTTTGCTGCTAGTCTCGTCGAAGTGAAAGATTATTATTAATGATCAGGGCTCATTCGTGTTGGAGATCCTTGCGTCCATGGATGACATAGAAGTGAAAGATATTGTAAAAAGCGTCGCGAGTATGTTTATCAATGCCATTGACGGTTTCAATGAGATTGTGGCCGAGCGAGATCCCAATCATCGAGGCGCGAATTCAAAGGACTTTAAACTTCCACCAGTTGTACCCCAAGACCTGGTTTTAATTCGCATCTCTGAAATCAGTGCGATTGTGAGGAGTCAGAAGGAGCGCCTTCTGGCGCGTTGGACACTCGAAGAGATCGATTCGATTGAGCAGGAGCACGGCAAGGTGTGAATTGCCGTAAGATGTAAGCCTGCTCTTATGTAGACATTAATCTCCCTCGATGGAGATTCTACTTTGATGAATCATGGGGTGGTGTCAAAGGCAGGTATAAGTATCTTCAACGATTCTGTGGTGAAGTTGCTACTGTGTTTCCCGGTTCAAGTCAAGTTAAATCTGATTTTTCGATTTTGAAATTAAAAAATAGTTTTCGCAACAGTAATGCCAACCTTTCGCTAGAGGAGTGTTGCATTGCAAGCAAATGAAAATGCTAAGCCTCATTGTGCCCTGAATTGAACAGGACAATTAGCATTTCATGCTTATTTTAGCTTTGAACGTGATCCATATATAATAATTTGGTCAAGCCGTAAACAAGCTATTTAGCGTATTTACGGATTAATCCGTATATAAAGAGGCTTGCCAATACGTGTGAACTTGACCCTACCACATGGGTGGAGTACACCATGTGACCCACCCTTGTGTTTACGTGCATTCACGTTAAGGGGGATGAGGCCTAGCTGGCGTTGGATGGTGTCACGGACAGACGTCATTCGCGAGAATAATATTTAAGCTCGCTAAAAAGGCGCGCATCCAAGTACTACATATTAGCCAATCATCTTTTAAGATATATATATAGTAAGAAACAAATCAATATAAAATAGTCTAACTATTCTACTTTCGTTCGCAGTACTTAAGAACTGACATCTTAGGATATTGTATGAGGTCGCCTTGGCGCTCACCATCTACCTCATCGAATGCGAAACAATACGGTCTAATTGCTTCCTCGTTAGCGCAAGAAGGCGAGCTTGTGAAGCGCCCACCTACACCAGTGCCGTAATCTTTCAACTTCCTTCACTTGTCCGTGATCAAGCTGTACTCGTACAATAAAGTCATTGAGTGTCTTACATCAATTTTGTAACTTGTGAAAGACCATCAATCAGTTGGTATTACGCTGTGTGTCACTGATAATTGATCTTGGTCGGCTGTCTGAGTTGGAAGGCGGTTGGTTGGTTGCGATGGCAAACAAAAATAGTTATCATGAGGTCCTTCGTTCTTATATTAAGTTGCTATCTATAAGCCTACTGCTTTGAATACGACCACCATTACTCCCGTTTGTCTTTTTAGTATTTAACTGGATTTAATGAGCGCTCATACCTTTACCAGCGGTAAGTAGCATAGCATCTGGTCGATAAGATGCCTCGACGATAATAGGAATGGTAAACAATCATTTGGTCGACTATAAACAAACGTTATGTTGGTTTTATCATTACAAGAAAAGACCTCCTTGTCGAAATTCCGGTACTTTGGGATCAATCTGGAATTTGCTCTAATGCTCCAACTACTGCAACGGGCTATATGCCCAAAGACATATGGCCCGTTGCAGCTAATACACCGGTACTTAATGGGGAGGTGTGTGTTTGAATCTGCCATATTAGTGAGGTACACCATGTGACCCGCCCTTGTTTATGCATGTGATACACACAAGATGTATTCACAATGAAAGGATGACGCCCAACAGGGACTGGGTAAACGTGTGACGTCACGGACGGAATCAATCGCTAGCCTACGTAATTATATATATAACATATAGGGATGCATGTTGCTGAACACTAGAGAAGTCGGTATAGCCGTTTCCTTTTACGGGCAAGAAATGTGGCAAAGTGACAATTATCAATTTTCAGGAACTTGGATCGCGTTTTCCGGCTAAGAAAATTTTGCCCAAAGTAGTTCGTGATATTTGACAGGAAAAGTGTCAGTGGTGGACATATTCGCGGTTTGCTACACACTAACTACGATTCGCGATCCACTGACAGTGATCGCGATAATAGATGACATATGGGCATTAAATGATTAAGTAATATATGACCAATTATGGAGGACATGCCGAAAGTTTAGAAATGAGATACTTAAAGACTCAGCAGTCGCGCGGTCCGCGCAGGAGACCGATCGGGCGCGACCGCGGTCCAACTTTCTGGATGTAGATCATATAGTTGATGTACTCTGGAATGTGTGGCTCAAAAAATGTTTATGTGGACTACACTAAGTGTGTGGACCACACACAACGATTCGCGACCCAGGTGTGGACCACATAGTCGAACTGCGAATCAGCAATCTTGGTTTGGACCACATAGTACAAGGGGACGATATATGTGAAAGAGGCAACCGAATAGATAGTCATAGTCGTAGGTTTGGGCTGTTGGTTTGGTTGGCTAACATGGCCAGTTCTGCTTTCGCGTGTCAAATTAATACATACCTTAAGCCTAAAGGATATTAGTATAGTAATTAAGAGATCTTTTGATACTCTCTTTAGGAGAGTGTTATAGCCCTTTTACGATGATTGGCTGACTAATACATAGTATGGGTAGCATCGCATATCATGCTCCAGTCAGCCAATCAAAAAAACGACGGTCTTCCATATTGGCCCCGTATTATAAAAGCATTCATATTCATTTGCAAACATAAAATTCTGGTCTCTTCATTCGAGAATCTTCTGGCTAAAATTGATGGTAAAGCTGTTCTGCGCGAGCAATGGTCTGGGAGGGGTGTTCGCGGTGCGATTAAACGATGGCGACCAGGTAGATGGATTGAAAAATGCAATCAAGGCGGAGAAGGCGAACAACTTGAAGGATGTTGATGCGGACAAGCTGCAGCATTTCCTGACCAAGAGTCACGGCGTCTGCTACGTAAAGAAGCCCAAAGAGAAGATAAAGACTCCTCTCCTCAAAGCATTAACGAAAAGAACCTGGGGTAGATTTTATTGCTCTTCCTCAAAAATGTAGACACTCCAAAAAATGTCTACTTACGCGTCAAAGAGGTTGAAAACGATGCCAAATACAAGGACGAGCTGACGCATTACCAGAAACTAGGGGAGATGATCCAGCGCAACTGTAAGGACTACTGCCAACAGATTTTAAGCAAGTCGACGCACTGTATATTTCTGACGCGTTTGCGCTGCCGTTCAATTGCGTGAAATAATGATGAATGAGACCAAAGATCCACAGACTCAGTTTGTGAAATGTTGACCTTAAGTTTGAAATGCCTTCCTCAAACTTCTCCATTGGGCCATCTTTCTTTGTCACTTCACAGAACGCTTCGTAAATTCACGAGAATTAGTTATGCAAGCGCTTACAATATGATCGAATGGCAATAGGCTAGCAAAACCACGAACGACTCTTTCCCAAAGAAAGGACAGTTGCTACTTCCTCATGCCCGATGTCGTGCGTTGCTGGAGTATTGCAGTAAATAACAGACCTAGCAAGGACAAATGATATGCTTGCAAAAGAAACGTTAATGTACGTATAAAAGTGCAATCGCGAAAAAGTTGCCGCTTTTCGTAACAATAAAGGCGGTGGATAAGGTCTTGCCTTTCTTTGTATTGGACAAAATGACGCCTGACATGCACATTGAAGGTGGTAGCGGTATTCTAATGCAATGTTTTCGAGTGTAGTCTATCAGTCAAAATAAAGCATCTCCATCTTTAAAGAAATACGAGGACAATATTATCGAATAACATTGTCGAATATTATCAGCTAAGATACTATTTATAATAAGGTGAGCCCGTTACAGAACATTGGCACTTACCCTTAATGTTAGTGCCAATATTATGCAACGAGCTCACCCCGTTGCATCCCCCAACCATCATAGATCATAGTAGTGACTGATTTAATAAAGTGACTTAGCCAGGTCAACGGTTGGTCAGCTGCGGGCTTTCTTCTCCAAAATTCGAGCCAGTTCGCTCAAGTCTCGACCCGGTGATTATGGGTCTCTATTCGCCGATTACACCCCCCCCCCCCCCCGCGATGCATCGCGTGACATGTCTACGCTCTTTTTAGATTTAGGCCAGTTCACTCGAATTGGACTTGAAGATTTTGGATCTCAATCCACCGAATACATACGATGCACGCTTGACCTGTTTTCCGTCCCTGTGCAGTGTGAGAGCTGCAGATATTTGTGACGCCTGTAGGCATCCTCTAACGATCTGCTGCTATACCATCGCTGAGCCACAACTGGCTTCTCCTGGCTGCTCTTGGTATGGTGAGTGCGCTCCGCTCCGCCCGTGCCGGATGCTTATCAGAAGAAGCGCACTACCGCATACCAGTTAACAATTATGTTGTGATTGCTTAAGCTTTGCGATAGGTGACGACCGCTTCAGCGTCTTCACATGCCGCAGTAGACGAGGTAGCGCTCAGTGTTCTTCACTATCCTTTGTTCTTCACTATCCTTTTGCCCTGCAAGAACTCGAATGTTTATCTCGTAGATTATCAATGTTGAGCATAAGCGGATTGTGTTGCCAATACCACAATTGGACATGCTCTAGAGAAATGCATGGATGACTATTATTTCTCGTTTTTCTCCGCAATGATTAATTCCGTTTGCAAATGATGACAAACACTGCTTAGAATCCCTTTCAAGCTTAGTATTCCGTCCTAAAAGCATTGTATTAAATTCCGCGGGCGTTTTATTAGGTACTGTCTCGGCGCGAAGAAATTCGCGATGTAAAAGTTTGTAAAAGATATCAAACATTGCAATTTGCTGGATGTAGCAATTGGTCATGCAATCTCGAAAATACAGAGCGGCATACCTTTCATGGGAAGCAGAAGGGAAAAGATGCGCAGCTGATGGCGATATCGTACAATAATGTTGTAATTGGTGATACGACCTTACCTCTATGTAATTAATGAAAAATATAGACCCACTGTATGCTTCTACACTTCGCAAGCCTAGTGAACGCCCTGGAGGTAGGGATGACCAATATAAGATTAATGTGGCTACCATGTGTTAATTCTTGGATATCATGGAGGGCATGATGCTATGCTTTGTGATGCTGGGTGAAAAGACTTTCCTGGGTTGCTATGATCCTAAACATTTAGAAAATCTCTCAACATTCATCATCTTTTAGTGTACTTGACATAACAGGGTTTAAGACAAGACATAAAGCTAACGCGGTCAGCAGTGATGATAATGTAACGGGGTGAGCTCGCTACATTAAGCTGGTAATGAATTTATGTGACATTTCCTAAATAATATGTCGAACATTATCTTAGCTAAGATAATATTTGACATATTATTTAGGAACTTTTATTATCGACCCACTATAATTTTATAGATTTACCCCATATTTTTTAAAGACACCTACCTTATTTTTTGTCGCAACACTTCTCGCTGTCCTTTTTAAGTCTATGGACGAATACTTTCATCAGATAAACGCTGGCATTTTCTGTTTTGTAATGGCGAGCACAATCGCGTTCCGTCCAGCAATTTACGG